TTCACTGTATCAGGACTGTAGACATCCCTTCACTCCTTGATAAGGCATTCTCATCATACAATCATTTTGATTTGAGAATATTTCAAAAAAAGAAAAATTGTCATTCACATGAAAATATTTCCATGTAAGCTGATATAATTTGTTATAGCAATACAATCATCTTAATGATGATTAAAATATTATGAATGAAAAGCTTGAATACAATTGTAATTTCACATTTATATGAACAAAACTGTTTTAAAAAGTGTACCAGGTAAGCATCCCACTGATGTTATATAAGAAATATATACAAAAAATAGTATTTGTTCAACAACTCTTATGTGTTACTGTGACTGACCGATATTCATGAAGACATTGTACAGGACTAGTGCTAGTTGTGACACAGGCATAAGGTACCAGCCATCAAGAAACAAGGACCGGTAGCCTTGTGTTCCGCATCTGACTTTACGGGTATTTTGAACAACCTGGTTTCAACTGTACTGTCATCTCCCCCAAAATTTCCACAGGGGAAAATGATGACACATATAATATCAAAGCCAAAAAAACCACACATGACAGTACACATTGGACTCAACAAATCATAAACCCAAAGTAGAAATATTAGGCTTACAAAAATAAAAGAATTGGTTCACAGGGAATGGCTTTTGAAAACATGGTTGTTGTTTTTTCTGGTTGTTCAAACTAGTATGTAACCAGATAAAGAGCTGTGCAATCAAATAAACAGTTGTGTACAATCAATTTTGGAAAGGCCTACACAAAAGTATTTAGAGTATCTGACTACTCTTGGACTTGGAATATTTAAGGATTATTTTAACTTAAAATGGAAATAAAAACGAAACGTGCAGCAAACTTTATGATGATGCAGGCGTTGCCTGAGAACCAACACTATTATTTTTTTAGCCTTAATGATAAATTGAGTTAAAATCTTTGAAATGGAAATGCCCCTGCTACATGAGCATTGACTGTGACTCTGTCGTCATCAACACATAAACCTAGCACAGGACAAAACAAACTCTACGAACAATGAAAGACAGTCTTAACACAACCCGCTTTAGCCATCTTGGAAAAAGTTGATACTTCATAAACAAAATCATCGAACTAAACCATGAACCATCCAACTGCCACCCTGTTCAAATATTGCATTACCATAGCAATGAAATTTGTACACTTTGTTTAACATGAAGGAATGATATCAATGAGATATACAATGAATGTACAATATATATGGTCTATTTGTCAGTAAATGAGCATAATAAGTACAGATGTCAGCATGACATATGAATATATTACACTACCAAATAACACAATGATTAAAAGGCACATAACATTTGTCAATACAAGTAAAGGGAGTAAAAAAAACAAAACAGTCACTGGTAGGTCTCAGGCAAAGGTCATGATAATTATGAAGGTAACATTTTTTTAAATATTTTTCGAGTGGTGGAAATTGGTGATAAAGAAGTTAATTCAAATATTCTTTATTATCAATTGTGAAATCATTTAATAAGTAGAGGGTTTGCTGATGTGTGAGTTGCCTGGAAATCAAGATTGTTATATAAAGTTTGCTCGCACATGCGGAACAACTACAAGGCATAGAATCCAGGAAGGGTAGGCAACTAGCGGCAGGTGCTTGGGGTGTAAATATTTTAGTCCCATATACAACATGAGGGTACTCATACTTGCTGTTACCAGCCTTTCAAACATTAAAAATATTTTGATTTCATACAACAGTTTTGGAACAAGAAGGTGATAACATGGTGCATATGTGATGCTGTGCTAACAGAGTCTGTGAATTGAGATAAAGGGAGATAAAAGAAGCAGGACTGATTGTGTTCTGGTGTGGTATACGTAGCTAAATTTCAGTCAAGTTTGATGCCCAAGATACTAGGCTATTAAGTCTTAGGCCACAATAACTTTATTAATCCACAACTTTTAATGGTTTGAGTAAGGTGACATTTTATATTTGATATTCATTCTTATTCAACAAACTGTTATTTGTGAACATGACAAGATGTTTGGAAGGAATATGTACTGCATTTTCTTGTGTATAGTCAAACATTTTGTCAACTAAATACTGATCTGTAGAAATTGCTGTACGTTATACTACAGCGTGCACTATACACATGTTTGTTTGTTTGTTTATTTGTTGTTCAGCAATATTACAGCTACATGGCTGCGGTCAGTGAATAATTGGGTCTGGACATGACAATCCAGTGATTGACATCATGAGCATCAATCCACGCAATTCGGATACGATGACATGCATCAACCAAGTCAGCGAGCCTGACCACCCGATCCCATTAGTCACCTCTTACGACAAGCATAGTTGTCTTTTAGAGCAAGCATGGGTTGCTGAAGACCTGTTCTACCCCGGATCTTCACAGGTCTATATACACATAGGAAATACAGTACGCGGTATATGGCATATTTCATGGAGTAAAGACAGAGTGAGAGCAAATAATGTTCACAGCTGCAGTAAAGACAGAGGCAACACACACAGCAGTGTTTTCATCTGAAGGTACTCGGGGATGATAAACATAATAAAAGCGGTAGTAACTGGGTTGGGCTGGGATGAAAATCAGTGCCCAGTATACTCAAGAAAATCACTTATCTATGTCTCACACTGCTGGTATATCGACTTCATAATAGACGAAAACACCACCAGAAAAGCCTGGTGCTAGAATCATAGTTGGCGGGATTCAACTCACAATCCTGGCAAGTAGGGTACAAAATAGGGAGAGCGATCGACCTTTGACCACTATGCCATCCATGCCACTTCCTCCATGTTTTATAAGGAGGCTACATAATGACTACATAGTGAGACGAGCATACCAGTACCAAACATAACAGTAAGGCAGTAACATACCAAATAAGTGATAAGCAAAACACTTTTCATCAAGTTACTAAATACTGCAAAAAGATATTATGCAATGACTGAGAAAAAGCAATCAAAGTTCACAGGACTTGGATAAAATGGAGAAAAAATTATCTCTGATGGATACTTAAAAAAATAATACTACAGAGAATAAAGACAAAAAGGCACATCCCTTTACATGAGCAAATCTAGACACCACAATCCCAATATCACCAGAAGCTATCCTGTACATTGCTAAAATAAGCCATAATAACGAAACCCTTGCTAATCTGAGAACAGTGAGAAGAATGTGAAATAGTTCACTTGTTTGTTGTTTAATGCAGCACACACCAATATTCCAGCTACATGATGACGGTCTGTAAAAAACAAAAAAAAGCTTGGGCCAGACAATCCAGTGATAGACATGGATCTATGTGTTCATGGATACACACAGTTGGGATACAGTGGCATGAAATCAAACAAACCACAGAGCCTGTCCACACTGGATACAACTGTGTCAAATGTTTCTCCCATTTTGTTCATCTGGAGTTGGGAAACAAACTTCTATTCATCTTAGACATACAAAAACACCCAAACAAATTTAGTTGTTCTCCAATCAGTCTGAACAAAAGTCATCTGGCTATCAATGAAAGAGCCATACAAATGTGAAGTGAACATGCACAGGTAGAAACAGTAGAAATCCTACATATTTACAAGGAAGGGACCTATATACATATCTACATAAAAACATAAAAAGCAACATGAAAATGACAGAATGGATTTTGAAATGTGACAGAGGTAAGAAGCTGCATGAAATTTTATACACAAACGGAACAAATGGGTGACTATTGACCTGGCGGATCTGGCACTAGGGGCTGGAGGAGGGGGTGAAAGAAAGGTGTGTGGGGGTGGGCTGGGTGGGGGTGAGAAGGGGTGGGGTGGGTGGTATAGAGGAGTAAAAGTGTAGAAAGGGGATGGGGGTGGAGTAAAAATGGGGTTGGGCTTTGAAGGTGGGCACCCTCCTTTTTACAAAGTCTTCGACCTACCTCTGATTGCAATACGCCTTTTTGCAGCTACCCATGGTGTATGTATGAGGATCACTCGGTGAAGGGAACAGTTCAACACAAAGTAAGGAAATTGTTCCATTGAAAAATCATTATCTAGAGCTTCATTAGCCTCATTCAAATCTGCTTACTCTGCTGGTATGCTATAGCACTGACACATCAGGTCGCCTTAAATGTTGAGCCTGTTTGGTGAAGGATTTGGCTGAACATCAAAAGACATGTAACTCCCATACTTTAGCATAAACTTGCAATGACTGTAGCACTAGGTCTCTCGTTACTCCCATACCTAAACAAAGATTTGCATTGACTGTAGCACTATGACTATTGAAACTCCCATACTTTAGCATAGACTTGCACTGATTGTAGCACTAGGTCTCTCGTTACTCCCATACCTTAACAAAGATTTGCATTGACTGTAGCATGAGGTCTCTTGTTACTCCTATACTTTAACAAAGACTTGAAGTGACTAGTACAAAGGCTATCATAACTCCCTTACTATAGTATAGACTTGCAGTGACTGTGGCACTACAACTATTGAAACTCCCTTACCTAAAGAAACATTTGCAGTGACTGTAGCACTATGACTATTGAAAGTCCTATACTTTAACAAAGACTTGAAGTGACTAGTACAAAGGCTATAACTCCAATACAATAGTATAGACTTGCAGTGACTGTGGCACTACGACTATCCAATTTATCTTAATTATCATGCCTTAACAGAGACTTGCACTGCAGCTGGTTTGTGCAAGTGCGCTCTGCTCTGGTCTCCTCCTGTCCCCGCCCTGTCCCCACCCCCGCTGTCCCCACCCCCGCTCTGTCCCCGCTGTCCCTGCCCTGTCCCCGCTCTGTCCCCACCCCCGCTCTGTCCCTGCCCTGTCCCAGCCCTGTCCCCACCCTGTCCCCGCTCTGTCCCTGCTCTGTCTCTGCTCTGAGTGTGTCTTTACCAGTCAACTGATGCAGAATACATTCCAACATCATTGCCCTACTTTGAAATTTGTCAGAACATTTCTTGATTTTAAATGGAATTTGTTAAAAAAACCTTCTTTACAATATTTAACAAGTTTTTGTTAAGCAAACAGAATAGGCATGATAAAAAAAGTTTATTTATAAAGAAACACAACCAATTATTTCTTCTGAGGAATGTGAGATGAAAGAAGCCATTAATAAATATAAACAACTTGATACACATCAATAACTTACAACTACTCTACTACAGCACATGCAATGAATACTACTATCTGTAACTGACTGCCATAGCAATAGACATTAAACTGATAACAGTTTGGCACAATATTAAATTCAGGTTTCATGCCATTTAAATGTTTTTCAAATTTTAACTAAGATACCAATACTTATTCTACATGAAAAAATATTTCAATGACAGTTTGTCACTTTAATGTATTTGAAGCCACACCAATTTAATTTTGTGATTTACTCGTTTCAAATTTTACAGAAGTAAAGCAAAAAAAATTGAAAACGGGCTTGTATTGAACATTTCAATGTAAATTGTTCAACAAAGTAGACACAATTTATGTTTAACAACTTCTTTAATAACTGTGAAGGTGACGTTTGGGTATAGATGTTGCTTGACAACGATATAAGGATCTATACAGAAACGTCGCCTTTACAGTTATTAAAGCAGTTGTTATCCATACATTGTGTTTACTTGGTCATCCGTCAACTTCTAAGTAATGCCTATCAAACAATTTAAATTGTACAATATAAGTATTTTCTGGAATCATTCAATATATGAATAAACCTCAGCAATGATCTGAAGTAGGCTCCAGGTTCTAGTTTCACACTGTTTTTTTAATGTTGCTGTCATAAACCAGCAGGGTAAACAAACCCATATTTCCTATATCATTCCCATTTGAGTGAACACACATACCATGGCTATCCATGCACTGTACAACTTGCAACACGAAGATGTCAAGTACTTATTAATGAAAACACATTTCAGTTACATCATGGCATGTGGAAATCTCCAAGCAATATACAGATCTAAGATATTTACCAATTTGTTGAAACCCCCAAGGTTTGACATAAGGGTGATTCTGGGATTTAAACCCACTATCATAGGATTCTGGCATGGTGAAGGGAAGCAACTCTCCTCAGTGAAAATGCTGATCATGATTCAAAATAACCATGCTCACTTTACAACATCAAGTTTCTCATTTACCAGTATAGCACCTTGTTTGTCTAAGTAGATGGACACAAACCTTGCCAACTTGCTGTGGGCAGTAGGTCAGACGGGAACTCTGTTCTATCAACCTTATCCCATGTCAGAAACAAAACAATGCATTCACCATATTAGGCACCCTGCTCCAATAAGAGCCCCTGGCCAAATTCTAAACCAATCAGTAAGTCATCATCTTCATAAGTGCCTCATACAAAGCCCGAAAACTTATTTGACAATCCATATTTTTGTTCGTATTTTACAGATGATGTTTCAGAAAAGCAGCAGTGTGTGAGGGCTTTATAATAGCCAGTAACTAATATCAAAAATGCTTTAATTTCATTGACATTTGAACTAAGTTTAACAAATGTGACTTATGCATGGTTTTTATAAGAGCCCCAATTTGTCAATTTTCTAAGAGTCCAGGGCCCCCTTCCACAAAGCGAACTTAGCGCTAAGGTGATCGTAACTACCATACTTTAACACTGGCTTACGATCATCGTCGCGCTAAGATCACTTTGTGGAACAGGGTCCAGGGCACTTATTACGGCAAATATGAAGTCTTTGACGTGAGTCCTTTATCCAGTCCTTAAACACCTTCACCTTTACCTTGGCTCATTACAATATTGTTTGATAAAGCCGTCATTATGCAGGTGCTACTGTACAAATGTGCAATAAACAGAACTGGAAGAGTCAAGCTGGATGAACATGTTGCCATCATGAATATGAAGATTATACACAAGTGAACATGTTGGTAGTTAAAAGCATCATTCAAGTTGACCAGGGTCTAACAAGGATGAAAACAAATCTTAGTTTTACTTCTCTATGAGAAAACACTTACAAGAAGAATCTAAAATTCAGAAAGACAAGTCCCATTAAACATAACCTGGTTCTATCATCGATTACAGCAGTACCATTGACACTTGTCATCAGAAGCAGTAACATATGCCGCTATCCACACGCGACAAAGCAACATGCATCTATATCCGTCCTCTCGTCTACGGTTTAAAACAAAGAAGAGTCAACACAATCTCCACGGCAGCAATGGATGAAATGAAGTTGAGTCATCACATAAACCACTACAATTATACTGAGAAAGTAACAAACCTCATTAACTCATTGGTCCTCAAGTCCATCTGTAGTTCAACTACAACCACACTGCCGACATTAGGACATATAGTGGTGATATAAGACCAATCTGCCAACATTAGGCAATGTATTGGTGACATAAGATCAGTGCGCCAACATTAGGCCATATAGTGGTGATATAAGACCAATCTGCCAACATTAGGCAATGTATTGGTGACATAAGATCAGTGTGCCAATATTAGGCTGCGCAGTGGTATTGTAAGACCACAGCGCCAACATTAGGCCATATAGTGGTGATATAAGACCACAGTACCAACACTAGCACCACTACCAACCATAGCACATACCACAGTGCCAACATTAGGCCATATAGTGGTGATATAAGACCACAGTACTGACAATAGGCCATATAGTGGTATTGTAAGACCACAGTACTGACATTAGGCCATGTAGTGGTGATATAAGACCACAGTGCCGACATTAGGCCATATAGTGGTGATATAAGACCCCAGTACCGACATTAGGCCATATAGTGGTGATATAAGACCACAGTGCTGACATTAGGCCATATAGTGCTGATATTAGGCTACATAGTGGTCATATAGTAGTTAAGGATCATGACGTTAATGAGGTTTCACTGAATCAAAAAACAAATTACTGAAACATTTACATGCAATATAATCCTGATATATAGTCCATATCCGGCAACCTTCCCATCTTCCATCATTAGACATTTACCTCCTCCATTATCTGAGTGAGTGAGTGAGTGAGTATGGTTTTACGCCGCTTTTAGCAATGTTCCAGCAATATCACAGCGGGGAACGCCAGAAATGGGCCCATTATCTGAGTGAGTGAGAGAGGGAGTTGAAACTAAGGTCACATCAGCAATATTTCAGCCATAGTGTGACAAGAATAAGCAAACATTTTACTATTATCATTAGCACATAACAGCTGACACAATAAGTCAAACTCTAAGAATAGCTTTCAAAATGGTCATATAATTGTACTGGCTCTTCATATTTCACGATCTGTTTTAATTTTTTATTGGATTTCACAGAGTCGACTGTTTCAAACACACACAAAAACATATTGGAACGAAACTCAAGTACATATGTATGAAAATTGAAAAAACTACTCCCAACAACTAAACAAACTTTTCACAATGGAGACCCGATTTTCGGTAATTCATATCCTCTTCAGTGGAGTTTTAAACAAAACATCAAATCATGAGTAAGTGTATTCAGGAAATGAGAATTCTTAAAGAAAACCCAACAAGGATTTTGCGTGTAGGTGTTCAGCGAAATTTGACTGTATCTCCCCTTCTTCAAGGATGCCATCAAGGATACGAGGAGTCGGTTCGAGATTCGAATATCATCTTGAAGGCCTGAAAGGGTACAAATCCCACGTAGTGAATACAAAGAATTTTACACAAATGCATGCACTATTTATAGAAAAAACAAAGTTTAGTAATCCAATTCACAACACTGCAAATGGGTAACGTACAACTCCTTATGGTTCACGACCACAGAGAAAGATCAGAATATGTGGATAAAAGAATTATGACAAGATTAATATCTCATGATTGTTTGCATTGCAGCCCTAATCATGACAAAATATCAAGATGTATCAATATTTGACGGCATCTTACTTCTATAAGGAAAGCCTGCTCTGAGTGGACGCCATCACGGTTACCTACCTTCTGCATGGCTGCCACCCACGTCATGCCCTGTTTCTTGCTGCTGCTGCCATCGATCACCTCCATCTTCACGGTCTGACTATCCCCGTAGTTATCCTTGTACCGCAAAGCGATCCCTGTGCCCATCTTGTTGCCTGGAATACAAGGTCAAGGTCAAGGCCAACCATCATAGGTAGTTGAGGAAGGTGATGCAACCAGATCGGCCGCATTCAAAAGTTACCCTTGGCCGATGGAACTGATAAAGACATTTTCATTAATCCTTTTGTCAAGAATGAGTTAAGAGTGCAGGATGGGGGCTTCACATAATTTTTAAACTGTGATATCAAATGCGACTGACCATGACAGACCTTCACAAAGGTTGCAGAAAGAGGGACATCATCACCATGATCACTAATGGTCACCAGGCGAGAAGATGGGTTTGGTGAGTGAGTGAGTGAGTTGGGTTTAACACTGCTTTTAACAGTATTCCAGTTATATCACGGCGTGTCAGCTTAATGTGGGAGGAAAGCCCGAAGTGATGCAGGTCTCAGACGTTTACCACTTCGGTGAAACCCACGAGCACGGGTATGGTGCTGACAAACCTAGAAACATAATCGGGGCGAACCGGGATTCGAACCCACAATCATAGGTTTCTGGAGTGCCCAAGGGACGCAACTCTGCACAGCGAATCGCGGCGCCTTAGACGACTGGGCCACCCGTGCCCCCAGATGGGTTTGGAGTGAGACATGTGGGAAACATACTCTGGTAATTTAAACATTAATCTCTTTCATGAAAATACTAAAGTCTACTTCTTAATGCCTATTCTGTATATGGTGATACTCTTTATACCTTATAGCTTGTTATTCATTAAATTGGCTTTAAGCAGAAATCTTTTGCAAATGATATGCTATTGGACATGTTGGAGTGAGTGAGTGAAATAGGTTCAATGCTGTTTTGAACAGTATTTCAGTCATGTCAAGATGTTCAACTTGTGAGAGAAAAGCATGAAGGGATGCAGTTCTTTAACATTTACCATAGGTATGCTGTTAACAAATCAAGAAACCTAATCAGGGTAAGTTTGAGATTCAAAACATAGCATTCTGTCATGCCCAAGGGAAACAACTCTCTACAGTGAATTGTAGCACTTTTGACCATTGGGCCTCCCATGTTACTAGAATGAACCAATGATAAGACTTACAGCACAACACTCAGACTACACATACTGATTACAAGAGAGAATGTCAATGGGCAACACACAGTGTATAAAATAAACATGCTGATTCAAACATTTTGGAGTCAAAAAGAGTGAGTGTGAGTGAGTTTGCTTTTACGCCGCTTTTAGCAATATTCCAGCAATATCATGGCGGGGTGACACCAGAAATGGGCTTCACATATTGTACCAATGTCGGGAATCGAACCAGGGTCTTCGGCGTGACGAGCGAACGCTTTAACCACCAGGCTACCCGACCGCCCCAGAGTCAAAAAGAAATGGAAGTACATTCTGAAATATTACATAAAGTAAACATAAATATAGGTTGAAAAGTAACTAATAACATTGTGCTTCGAAAACATAACACAAACGTCAGAAATAGTATTTGGAAACAAAATAGTCCCAGTCTTGATACATTGACATGCAAGAAACATGACAGCAAACCATGCACACACAACACCCATCAACAAACCTTCCTCGTCTGAAGGCAGGAAAACAGAAACGGAATCAACCCTTATTCAAACTTCACAATTTTGTGCGACTCTGCACAAACAAATACTTGAATCGCAACCACAATTCAGGACAGTTTAACAGAACTTAAGCTGGATGTTACACATGTTTGTTGTCATCCTGGCAAATTCAGTAAAACAGTCATCTTGTAAACATGGTTCCTACCATCCTCTCTACTTCATGCCAAGTAATGGATTAAGGGCTAATTCATATTAGGGCAGTAACAATACACCGAAGGGTCAGTGCATTGCTATATTTCGTGCCAGGATACAAGTCATGTATTATCAGATTAGTGAGTGAGTGAGTTTGGTTTAACGCCGCTTTTAACAGTATTCCAGTTGTATCATGGCATGTCAGCTTAATTGGGAGGAAAGCCCAAAGTAATCTCGGGCGTTTACCTTCGACAACTGGGCCACCCATGCCCCCTATTATCAGATTATGTATCAATAAAAAATAGGCTGTATCATATCACAACCTTAATATCTACCTTTTGTTTTGTTTGTCTTTTTGTTTGTTGTTTAACGCCGCACTCAGCAATATTCAAGCTAAATGACTGTCTGTAAATAATCAAGTCTAGACCAGACAATCCAGTGATTGACATCATGAGCATCGATCGGTGCAATTGGGATACGATGAAATGGATCAACCAAGTCAGTGAGTTTGACCATTCGATCCCATCCACCTGATCGCCTCTTACAAAAAGCATAGTCGCCTTTTACGGGAAGCATGTAAATATCTACCTATGCATGGTGTATCATTACAACCTATTTCATATATAAATCTCACGCTGTCCTTACAAGATGATTCTTAGAATTCAGGGTCTCATTTAACAATGAGATGTTAGCACTGTTACTGTCCTAACACAGCCATACCCCTGTGATCACCTAATTTCATATATAAATCTCACGCTGTCCTCATAAGCTGATTCTTAGGATTCAGGGTCTCATTCCACAATGAGATGTTAGCACTGTTACTGTCCTAACACAGCCATACCCCTGTGATCACCTGGTTCATCCTGGACCAATGGTGAAGACTCACCTTGTGTATCGATATCTGTAGTGACAACCTGCACTGCCTCAATCCGGTCGACCAAAATGGATTCTCGTTTCCTATTCTCACCCTCGAATGTCAGGAGTCTGCAACGCACATACAGATACATGTCATACACACGAAGATGTTCTTCCACTTGGGCTCTGTACATGCCATACTTTAATCAAGGCTCACAGATCTGATAACAATATTTTAACAAAAGTTGGTCCCAAAGTGGGAAAAATAAAATAAACCAATACCTAAAAAAAAAGGGTTTTACCTTATAATAATTATTTCGACTGTTCTTACAAGAAATATGAGGATCCCCAATAATTATTTCGAGAGTTCCTACAGGAAATATCAGGGTCCCCAAAAATTATTTCAAGGGTTCTAACAGAAATTTAGAGGGTCCTGTAAATACTAAAATAGTATAGTGTATTGAACTGTAAGATAACTGATAAATACCGATGGGTTAATTACAGGACTTTCATATTTCTTGACATATATCTTTCTTCTGCATCCATTCTATACATTTGTGCGTACTGAACACACATTTCCCCATCATGTGAAACCCTGAAACAACTTATTGGACTTTTTTCCAATACCGAAGGATGTCGTAAAGGTGGGAGGCCAGAAATAGGAGGACTGGTCCGCCAACTTGTAGGACCGAATAAGAGGTGAGGTGAGGTGAAATGGGGTTTAACGTCGCGTCCAAGATTATTGCACTTATATAGCAATGTGCATGCACGTGTATATGTGTGTGTGTGGCTGCTTGTACTAGTCCGGACTGATGCCGATTTATAGTGCTAGCACACTGAGATACCCCACTCAGACACAGTATACTGACTCGGAGCCGACCAGACCTTGTTTTAGCCCCTTAATGCCGAGCGCCAGACAGGATAACAATAAGTACCATCTTTTAATGTCTTTTGGTATGACGCGGCTGGGGATCGAACCCAAAACATTCCGCTCTCCGGGCGGACACTCTACCATTAGACCACAAAGGCGGTCTCCGAATAAGAGACAAGTTCAGCAACAGTAGAAACTTCAATACCGTGGTAGTAACAATGGTGGAGTTGATCGCAGGAAGATAAAGTAGATACCTTATTCTTCCAGGTATATATTAAATGATGGAAGTAATTGGCAAAGAAAGTGGGAGGAAAGATATCACAAGCATGATAATAGGCCTCAAACGCCTTCCACTTGTGGTCGTAGAGGGTCTTAGTGGAGAAACAGTGAGCCGCCGTGATGGTCTTGGCTACTTTGGGAAAAGGCTTAGACGGTGAGGTTCTCCCATGAGATGGCCAGAGCATCATGGTCCCATGCCTGAGGACCTTAGATGGGAGAGACGAACCTTGGGAGCTGAGCATTGAACCTGCAGATGCCATCCCATCGGTGATGATTGATCTGGTCATGATAGGGAATCGGCTAAGACATAGTGGATCCCGGGAATGTGCTACGCTCGGATCTGAATTGTCAAGGAGTCGATCAATCCGGAAGTCGAGCATCAGTGATAACAGGGACATCGACTTGGAGGAGCCCATCTGTTGATATACCAGACGATGGATCTTCAACAGCTGGCGCTGTCAAATCTGGCTTGGATGAAACACCCGTAGAGAGAACCTTGCTGACATTTGAAGCTGCTGGTTGCTCTAACATAGGTGTGGACCCAGACCCAGTGGGAGACAGACGTTAGTACTGGTACGGCAGGACCATCTTCAGTGAGGAGGCTGTCAGGTACCAAGTCTTGGAAGCTGAGTGCTGACACGACATTGAGGTATAACTAAAAGTAGCGATGCAGTTACTTCGATGTAAAAATCAATATATATCTACTCACTGTCATGTCATCAACAGTAAGTAAAGTGCGCTGAATGGCTCCGTCTGTTCTAATTACAACATAAGTGGGTTTGCTACAGCCCAGAGAAAAATCCTGATGCACTATGCAAACATCCCGACACTGGGCGTTGAATACTGTAACCTTGCCTAGACTGGTATCCTGTCTTATGTTGCTGCACAAAGCTTGTAGTGTGGCGATAATCTCAAGTACTCTACAAAATACCTCGTACTTGGTGAAAAACTCCACATGCAATCCAAAACGGCATCCGAGTTCCGAAGAGATAACATTGTACATGCAGTTCCCTGTAGAATGTGTGACATGGCCGGTGCCTCAGCAAGTTGATCGCCCTGATATCCGATGCATGTATATAAGTTATTAATAGAAAAATTAATCTCTGTCGATCGGACTAGTAAAATGCGGTGCAAGATCCTGTCGATTTTCAGTCCCTTGATAATGTCTAAAATTCCCAATCACATATACGGCAATCTCTTTGAGCAACAGATTAAACGAACAGCGAGGAGAGAGCCCGGGGATTCCATGAAATAGTTAAGGCAGAGCGATGCCACTTTCATAACGTCTCCAAACCACTATTATTAATCCGATCCATGCAAAACATTGGTGAAAGAGTGAGTGAGGGAGCAACTATGGTTATGCGTCGCTTGTAGCAATAACCAGTCTTGACCATACAGGTCAGTTTGTGGTCGGCTGAACATGGGACGACTGTAGAAGGAGATAGTGTATCCTCATGCATACAGGCCATAGTCGTCGAAAAGGCAGAAACAACAAGCTGTGAAGAATGGCAACGGGTAGTGCTTGAATAATTAAAGCGATGGTCAATGACGTGGTCTTGAAAACACAAAACGAGGGAGGTACGATAGCAATGGAGAGCATGTCCGCTAAGGTAGAACAGAATTCTTCAACGAAGCCTTGAAACGTTGACCCACTGAACGCTTGACAATAGCGAAGGCAGGTTACATATCTGTCTTGGAGAGTTGGCACATTTTTGCATGCCATTAATAACTTTCCATGTGGGACTGCACATGAAATTGTTTTCTTTCGTTGTTTAATGCTGCACTCTGCAAAATTCTGGCAATGATCCCTATAAATAAACAAGCCTGGACCAGACAGATCAGTGTTTGATCTTATGCACAATGACCATGCCATCAGACTACGATCAAGTCACTAAGCCTGACCACCCAAGCTTACAGGTATAAGTTGCTGGGGATCTATTCTGACACCAAATCCCCGACAGGTGCACGATTATATAATTATCACACTAACCAAGTAGATCATGATTCACAAAATGTCTCACCTGTTATTGCTGGAGAGTTTACAAAGGAAGGATTCTGAGCTGTCCGAGTTTTCATCCTGGTCCAGCATAAGGAACTCCCCTCCTAAAAGGGGCAGATAACTCATAAAACATAATTGTAGAAATGGAAAAGAACAGTAACAAATTGGGGAATTTTATCCATGTTGACCCCTGATGGCTCATCAGAGTGAGAGAATTTTACGCCGCTTTTAGCAATATTCCAGCAATATCATGGCAGGGGACACCAGAAATGGGCTTCACACATTGTACCCATGTCGGGAATCGAACCAAGGTCTTCGGCGTGACGAGAAACGCTTTAATCACTAGGCTACCCACCCGCCCCACTTATTGAGAACTGGGTTGATATAGATTAACTGTAGTAGAAAAACATGCGTCTACCTGTCAGCAGTGTTTTCAGGTGTTTGTCATAGAACTCATTCTCCTTTAAAGTATTTTCATAGCAGTTATTGCAGTGGCGCACAGGGTCGACGAAGCACATACGAGGCAGTGGCAACTTCTTATCACAGCAGGTGTTGCAGTAGACTTTCCCACAACGTCGACAGTGATGCTGAAAGGGAAGATAACACCTCAATAGTAGATTTAAGTTACGAGTATTTTTGTACAGTGGGTTAGAGATTAGCACAAGAGATCCATTAGCCATGAAGGTTCATCATTACTAGGACTGGGATGGGTAACTCGGGTACCCGGGTCGGGTGGGTACTGAGTAGGACCCGGGTACCCACAGGACTACCCGGACCCATAGTTAGTCACATGATATATTGTTTAATGACAAAAATTATCTAGAACTCTATGGTTACACTACAAGTCACTAATGTTCGCATTTCTTTCTGACTATGCACCAATTTTTTCTGATTTTTCATATGGTTGAATAAAGATATAACTTAATTTAACTTCTGTGTATGAATGACCAGAATGTTTAATACGTGTATCTTAATATGTTTTGCCAGGGCTATGCTAAAAATGTTCTCATTCGGACATTTTGAGACATCCTATGGGAACCCGGGTAGAGTCGGGTAATAGGGGGTAGGGTACCCAGGTCATACATGTGGACTCAGCCCAGCCCTAATCACTAATTATCATGTTGTGCCAAGATTAACGGAAAGATCCAAGTGAGAGAGTGAGTGAGTATCGATTTATGCTGCTTTTAGCAGTATTCCAGTAATATTATGGCTGGTGACACCAGAAATGGGCTTCAAACATTGTACCCTTATGGGGCATTGAACCTGGCCTTCAGCATGACGAGTGAATGCTTCAACCCCTTGGGTACCCCATTGCCCTAAGGTCCAAGTGAAGCAGTCATAGACATTACCAGCTTTGTGAAACAGATGAGCAAGATGAAGGTGCTGACAAACCAAGAATGATAATCAGGGTGAATCTACCTTATGGTGTTAGGATTCTGGTAAGTCTAAGGGACACAACTCTACAGAAAAAACTGTTTTCCCTGATGAACATAAACTAGACCTTTGTTTTAGTCTTGTATTCACAGGAAGAGTGAGTGAGTGAGTGAGTGAGTGAGTGAGTGAGTGAGTGAGTGAGTGAGTGAGTGAGTGAGTGAGTGAGTGAGTGAGTGAGTGAGTGAGTGAGTGATGTCTTACGCCGCCCTTATTGATATACAAACGACATAACAGCAGGGGAAACCAGACCCAGGCCTTTGGCATGACAAGGTATGCTTTAACCACTAGGCTTCCATGCTCCCACTAAACACAGCCTGAAGTTACAAATAAATACATGGGATAACTGAAGAAAATCAATCCAAAATCATGTAACTTGCAATGTAAAAATCTTGTTTGTTTGTTTGTTGTTTAACACCGCACTCAGCAAAATTCCAGCTATATGACAGCAGTTTATAAATAATCGAGTCTGAACCAGACAATCAAGTCAGCGAGCCTGACCACCCAATCCCGTTAGTCGCCTCTTACGACAAGCATAGTTGCCTTTTACAGCAAGCATGGGCTGCTAAAGACCTATTCTACCTCGGATCTTCACGGGTCTAAAATCTAGCTGTCTGTGACATTGAACAAGCCAACAAGAAGTAACCTTTTAAATGTCACTGGGCCTTCAAATGTTTACTATTCACAGGCAAGTAGGCTAAGTAATTACTTATTCTGACACATTAATCATTCATAGTGCTACTGTAAATATCAGGTTGGCAATAACAGACGACTGGACATTATTTTGTTCATATACATGTAGTATTCATTCGGTCAAATTTTACTGTAGATGTGTCACTTATCACAAAAGTGAAATATTAGTATTGAAAAGATACTCACAAGTATCAGGATATATCGATAAATATTAACATTAATTATTCTGTATGTGTATAGAGAATAAATAAATAATAAACATGGCATTCCAAATAAATGTAAGCATATCTGTGGCTGTGAATTATCAAATAGTATCGATATCTTAATATTTATATCGATACAGTATCAAAATTTAAAATTTAGGAATAAACCTATATTATGTTATGCAATGACATCCCAAATTAACCGCATTTTCATCTATTCATCATCTGACACTGTAATGTTTAGTTTGACATTTTTGCATTGAATGAAATATTAAAATATTGCTGAATTTACAAAAATCACAATTTCCTATGCAATAGGTACTTAGTTTGGAACACTAGATAATGCCTAACAAGAAACTTGGAAAGTGTTTGTAAGAACTTGCAAAAGCAGAAGCACCCCCTCCCCACCATTTCTAGAAGTTCCCAGAAATCAGTCAGGGATTTATCTACATTTCTTAACGGGGTAGAATAGGTCTTCAGCAACCAATGCTTGCCGTAAAAGGTGACTATGCTTGTCGAAAGAGGCGACTAACGGGATCAGGTGGTCAGGCTTGCTGACTTGGTTGATGCATGTCATCGTATTCCAATTGCGTGGATTGATGCTCATGATGTCAATCACTGGATTGTCTGTTTCAGACTTGATTACAGACCGCCGTCATATAGCTGGAATATTGCTGAGTGGGCGTTAAACAACAACAAACAAACAACTAAACTTTACTGAGTGCCAGTGGCAGACAAATTGGGAAAATATTAATATGGTACTGTGGTTCTCATATTCAGAAACTCAAAACCTTCCAAATAATGTGCTGGTTTCCTTGGGGAATTGGTCAGCAAAGAGCCAGAGTCACAAGAGACTAATTACAATTTTTTTTACAAGAGACAAAAATAAGAATATCTTAAATATAGCTTGAGATACCACAGAGAGTTGGTACACCCCTCTGGGCTGTGGGCAAGTGGTACCCTTGGTTGGAGAGTCAAACCCCCTCTGGCTAACATCTTGCTTCTATTTAACTAAAACTTGAACAAAATAAAAGAATATGATTCATTGTTGATACACAATGGGGTGTGTCCTACAATTAATAAATGGCTATGTCTGGGAGTTTATCTATAAGCTATAACTGAAACTAATATCTTATGTCAGCAATTTCCCTGTATCCTAATATATATCTGGTTCTTTATTATTATGAAAATTTGTATAAATGTTACACCTAATATTTAATATCTGTGTTTTCATTGACTCATAATATATCACTTGCTTTGGATCTAATATTTATATGGAAACTTGGAATAAATGTTACACCATGATAACATCATCATTTTGTTCAAATTTCATGTTCTTATTGACTTAAATTCTGAGGTATTTAATAGGGCTGTTACGATTCACTGGCGTATTCAGTGAATCGAACCGTATCCATTCATGAATTGAATTCGTTATTCGCGCCCACGAAAATCGAATATTTATGAATATGGAAGCTTGTGCCTTTACATAAAAATATCCATAAGAACATATTATATGCATATATTTCTTCAAAGACAACACTCTTATACTATATAATTTGACAGTATTGTGGTCACTGGTCATTGTCACATTTGAGCAGATATTAGTACCTGGATAAGAGCAGTATATAAATGTATAATATATTAATAATTAACAAACCATGTCAAATAATGTATGTTGTTATTACTACACTGCATATAACAAATAATACATCAGCTGCTGACTTGTTGTATTCCAGAATTAATATTCATATTCATATTCATATACCCTATATTTGTGATACGAATCGTATTCGCCTCATAGTGATTTGTTGCAGCCCTAGTAATTAAGCCTCTTCCCCTTTATTGGTCTCTTATCAGTTCTATACAAGTTACTTCTACACAGCCATAACATTTGTTTAACCATATTACCAGGATTTAGGTAAAGCCTCTGAGCAAGCATAGATAAACCAGTGTCAGTACATACTGCCATGCATTTCCAGTGTCACTACATTTACATTTATCACATTAATTTCAGTGAGTATGGTTTTACGCCACTTTTAGCAATATTCCAGCAGGGGGACACCAGAAATGTGCTTCACACATTGTACCCATGTTGGGAATCGAACCCGGGTCTTCTGCGTGACCAGTAACCCCTTTTACCCAACCGCCCCACATTAATTTCATATTTAGATAATCCTGACATTATCATTTGAAACTGTACAATGAGTCAGCAGGCAGTAATATATGAGGTCATCTCATCTGAGAGTCTCTGTTGCAGCACTCCGGGCATGCAGTGGCCACTGTGACTCTCACAGTCATCTCCTAGGTACAACAGTGTCACTCTCAGGATCATCTCCTAGGTCAGACAGTGTCACCTCCGGCATGTCAAGCAGGGATTTTTGTCTCAGATATTAATACAGAATAATTTTGCTTATTCATATACCAGATTTCCATAAAAATGTCAAAATCTTGAAAATACAAACTCAGGCTAGGTTTGAACCAAACTGTGGTAGTGCTGACAAAGGGTAATGGCTGTTACAGATGGGAGTAAGATCGGTCACAAATGGACCCTGGTGTCTAAACATTTAATTCCCATGTCAATTGCATTATGCAACCATATTTTTGGACGTCTTTATTTCTTTACAACTTGGTTACCATTTTCATTTCTTGCACTTAATTAAGTGAACTAGTTATGTATAAAGTCTTTGAATGGCAGTTAGAAGTGATCCACATAAGGAAGAGAATTTATGGATGTCAACTTTTTTATTATGAGGAACACAACGTTTCAGGGTATATACTTACTCCTTCATCCATCTTCCCAAGGCAAGGGCGTTATCTGACTATAAAGTCCAGTTTCCACCCTTGCCAAACTAGGCTGGTATAATTGGAGTTACATTTTGGCCAGACTAACGAGTATATGCATAGTCCAATCACAATCGTGCATCGAAATCAAAATCCTGTTTGTAAACTGTCATGCAGATTTCGGTCGATTGCAGGATTTGTAAAACATGTGCACCGCCAACTCGTTATCAACAGATATTTTGCAAATCTTTTCATGTTTTTAATCAAGGTCCTCACTAGACTTGATGCACTTTGCAATGCAAGACCTGTTTTATCACAACATAGGTCTTGATTATCTATCAGATCATCTTGACTGGGCGCCACCATGTTGTTTGAAGCAAAAGCAAGTGAAACGAGAGGTGGAATCTGATTGGTCCATGGGAGAGGCATACAAGCGACATAACTCGTAACAGCCACTGGTGCCGCTACGATCGAGTCCAAGAATTCCAGCCTAGTTCAACAAAGGTGGAAACTGGACTTTTAAAGACAGTTAACTCCCTTGCCACGGGAAGATGTGTCATCAGGAGTAAGTATATACTCTGAAACGTTGTGTTCCTCATAATAAAGAAGTTGACATCCATACATTCTCTTCCTTAGTTATGTATAGGTTGACATATCAGTCTGCAACTAAGCAACATATCTGAAACGAGACTAGCAAAAGATTTCCCTGTCTCGTAAGTTCAGCTAATAATCAGCTGATAATCAAAATATTAACACCCAAATTACACATGTTATACAAATAGACAAGTGTGGGGAAATATTTTTTTTGCATAGACTGTTGTATAAAGACAATCTGCTGTCTATTGGTCTGTCAATTAATATCAAAATATCGTTACCGCTTATGAATCATATGCCATTTGAATAAACATAATGACATAAAACTAAAACTTGTAACACTTTACCATCAACTAAGGATGGACTGCAAGAGGTGGGTAGATCAGTCACTAAGAATCAATCATTAAATGATGGACCAGTATTTTAAAATACATACACATTTTTATAAACTCATACGTTTTGTGGATATTCATTCAACTGATAACAAACTTCTGATGAGAGATTTATCTAGACCTACTCAGAGGCTATTATTTGGCCCCAAGTTTGCAACAAGTGTTTGTAAAAATTTCACAAAAGGAACTTCCCAGTTCATTCTAAAATATGATGGAGTTATAATTAATGTAACAGCTTTGTACATGTTGTAGAGGCGACTTGTATTTCACTGATGAAGCACATGACCAACAAGGAGGAAGAGGTGTCAATGCTTAGGTTTACATAAGTGCATCGAACACAATGTGACAAAACAGTGTTCAAATTTTTTAATGAAAATAACAACTTAAAAAAATCCCAATTTTGAATAAAAAATAATTAATTTTGCCATACAGCATGAAAGTTGTGATCGAGTGTCCATTGGCAAGTAACCCAGCAGCCTCCGAGCAGCACGAGACAAGATGTACTTAACTGTATTTACATTGTACATCTTCACTCCAATATCCCACATCAAAATATCAAGTTGGGTAACTACTTCAGTTACCTGTTTATCTGACCCATTAGTATTCTGACCTTAGCTTTCGACTGTGGAAAGGATTCTCATTTAGTCATGGTAAATGTTTCAAAAACAGGAAAGAAGACAATAAACAGATACAGGAACTGAATTCAATATTGTTCTCACTACTGAATCAACTTGTTCCGCATTAATCTTATTATCTGTCTTGCTACATTCCCTTTGTTACATGTTCAGGACTTACAAAGCTGAAGAGAATGTAAACAATTTAACACTATTTGACACCATAGAAAATATTTTCAATAATGAAAAATAGATGGAATATTGTGTATCACCTACCCTTCTCTTCATAAAGTCAAACTTGGCTTGACAATTTCTGTTCATGCAGTATCCCATCTGCAAAAAGATGAAGAAAGCAACATGTAATCATTTGGCCATCAACAATAGCCCAATGGTCAAAACATGTGTTGCATCTCAGAGCTTGGAAAATATTTGAATTAAATTTAACTTTCATTTTAAGGCCACATAATGGAAAAAAAACTAAAACATTCATTCAAAGGTATTAACTGAAAATATGTTGATTGATTAATTGCTGTTGCACAGTGGATTTGTCAAAAGTAAGTGCATAGGTTTACTAAGACAGACTAGTACACCCATTTCTGGGCTTGAAGTGCCAATGTGAAAACTACACATTTGTTCAAAGGATTGACTGATAATACATTCATTGATTGCTCATTGTTATCTAATAGATTGTTTTTAAGAAACCATGGACATAATGAAAATAGTTGTCATGTGTGCTATCTCAGCTGACCAATGAGACTTGACACCTATGTGAAACTCCTGAAACAAACTTATGTGATCAGTTGAGAAACAAACACAACTCAAATATCCTGAAACACTATACATATGTTAAAATATTACATTGTTACAAAGAACTTTGTACAGATGCAGACGTATGGGACATCGTTCCTTAAAATTGATATTTACGAATACATTCCCCGTACAAGGTCATTGCCTAATGTTACAGCGTTAGACATGTTAGAAATTGGCACTAAAGTGCTTGCCAAACTGCAAAATAGTTAAGGTTCCAAAGAACTTAAATACATCACAATAGACTAATAATACTTGGTTTAGAAGCCCAAAACTATAGAAATGTACTTTTACTTTCATTTTTATTTAATCCTATCATTTTCAGAAACTGGGTGATGAAATTAAACATCAAAATGATTGGGATTCGTTATCAAAATAAATCAAATGGACAGATGTTTCAAACAATTGGTAAAATAACTGAATATTTAGGTGTTTAATAAATTGTAGTCTTTTTACACATTGACTATGACATATACACATGATAAAATAAGCAATGACCAGGTGAAATATTTAGTTTGAATTACAAGTCAAAGTGTAAACGGAAATCTCACAGTACCAAGCAAGTGATTTATGAAAACTTTGTCACCATTACTGATGTTAGACAAATCAACCCCTAAAGATACAGCTACTGTGTACATTTCCAGATTTTTTCCAAGACAAAACTGTATTTCATTTTGTTGATCAATGTGATGATAAGCCCTTATACTATCAATAAAAGCGACAAATGCACTTATGGCTGGCGCTGCATAGGTTGCAAACTAGTCGCATCTGGGTTTACACACACACACAAAAACAAAGGCAAAAGGTGAATTGTCAGAGATCAGTGCCCCTTTAATGTTTCAGTATTCTTAAAGCTCAAATCTGTAAGAAAGGTAATCCTGATCATTGATATACAGTATTGATATATTGATATATACATTGATATAGACAAGTCCATGCATGGCAGAAACTCAGAGATAACATATAGTCAAATTTTTGGCATTTTTAATACATTTGCAACAATCTTCAACTGACACCCTTCATGCAGTCTCAAATGGCAGCACTAAAGTTTATGAACTTCTAAATGTATTTTTTTTTTAGTTTGCAATCTCCATTATGCTTTGATCTAATCGATGAATAATAATGAATTAACATGATTTCCACAGACGCAAACATAGTAAATGAAATGTCCCTTTCAATGTTTACAAACCCACTTGTGAAAGTGGCCCGAGTGGGTGTGGTTGACTGACATTTGAGACGACAGTATTGTCAGTCGTTAGAGAGGCAAGATTTCAAGTAAAATTAATCTTACGTCTGCATCCGGGATCCATTGGGGTTCTGGTAATGTAAATGGACTGGTGTCATTTGCATTCATGCAAACCATACGCAAACCACTTTGGGAACGTACAAGTTTCTTTTCCCCAGTCGCCGCCATGTTTTCCAGGCTCTATTTTCCACGAAACTAATGTTGTATGGGAGAACTGCCGAGAACGTCAGCTAGTGAGCATTGTTCTGGGAATTGAATAATTATTCAGATTTCTACTTACTTACTTACTTCAGATTTCTATGAACATGTATTCCAATATATGGAGCCTGATTTTATTGGTATGTTCACTTAATTAATGGGTCAAAGAAGAGTGCAAGCAAATGACGATACCTAAATTGTATCACAATTTTGGTTGATTGCGTTTGTTTTCAATTGTTAAAAAATGTAAAAAGATTATACTTACATCCATAACATGAAGGAGGGAGGGGGGGGGGGGGGGGGGGGGGGCGTGAGTTGGGCTCAAGGGAGTAGTGTTATTAGGCTACATTATTTGGGTATTTCAAAAACTTATTCCTTCATCATGTAGGTGAAGGAATGCCATGAGGCAGAGAGCATATGTTTGTACATGTAAGAACAACAAACGCAATAACACATTACCCCCGGCCTACCGTTTGCCCATTGTCCATTGCCAATTACCAATCAGTGTTAATTTAGTACTGGCTTCCAGCTGTCCATAACTATAAGCGATAATTACTCTAAAGTGTTGGCTTCCATTGTCTATTGCTAATCACCTATCAGTGCCAATTATCTGTTGGCTTCCCTTGTTAAGTTTCCACCTTTTGTCATCTTATTACTTCTGTTGTTCTACCGTGTACATATATATGCTCTCTGACTCATAGCATTCATATCCCAAAGAAGAACAAACTACCTAAATGAACACCAAATTAAGAATCTTAAACAAAACTGCAAACAATCAAATATCTTCACCCCTAAACTTAAAATACCAAAAATAGACACAACACTAGCTAGCCAAATAAATAAACAAACCGACCCAAACATAGCTAAAACTACCACACTAGCATGCATACACGAAAATTGGCCAAATTGGTGTCACATTTACACGGACGGATCCTCAGATCCGACCTCCAAACACACAGGTTTCGGAGTCCATACCACACAACCAACTAAAACCACACAATCCTTCCGACTCCCAAACAACCAATCAATATTCACGGCAGAACTAATGGGCATGGCCTCAGCTCTCCATAATCAAGAATCCAAAAAACACAAAAAAAATCCTAATACTTACCGACTCCCTAAGTGGCCTGCAAGCCCTCCAAAACAAAAATACCAAAAACCGACCTAAATTAATAAATCAAATACTTAAAAGCTCCAACGACCTAACTAAGGCAGGCAAACAAATAACCTTCTTGTGGATACCCGCCCACGTAGGAATATACGGTAATAAAAACGCCGATAAAGCAGCTAAACTATCCCTCAAAATCCCAGAAATAAGCTTAAACTTACCCATCTCAAAATCAGAAATTAAAAGTGTAAACAAGCAAAAAATCACCAAAAAATGGCATAAGCTATATCTAAACTCAAATAGCCAAATCAAAAAAGTGCTCAGCAAACCACTAACCAAACCAAAAATTCTCCATCCATCAAAAAAAATCGACAGAGTAATCACTAAACTCCAAACAGGACACACCAACCTAAATAACCACCTAATTTTTTTTAAAAAACACACTACAGGTAACTGCCCACACTGCAAACAACCAGAAACCCCAGAACACGCACTCATCCACTGCACACACTACCTAACACATCAAACCGCATTACAAACCACCCTCAATCTAAACAAGGCTCTAACTCTAGAAGCAATACTAAACCCACAAAATAAACTAGAAAACTTCAAGGCCTTAGGCGTATTCTTAATAAAAACGGAACTAATAAAACGCATCTAAAAACACAATAACCTACCAAATCAAAATCACATAAACAAACAAACATCCACCATACCCAGCTCCCTTAGTTCTCCTCCCCAATCCCATCGGCATATATTCCAAATCTCAAAATTCCCAAATTCTATATAAGCAACCCCTAAAACCCCCCTCTTGGGTTGCACAGACCACCTTCGCCCCTTTCGGAAACACATTAGATGGCCTGGCCGGGCCCGTGTGCGAAATACGCATCAGTCGGAAAGCGCACGTTAAATCTCCAAAGTAAGTAAGTAAGTAAGCATTCATTCACCTGATGAAGGGGTAAGCATATATACTCCGAAACGTTGTGTTCCTCATAATAAAGAAGTTGGCATCCATAAATTATCTTCCTTATGTGTATCACTTCTAAATGCCTTTTAAAGACTTGAAAAAGTTATAAATTTGAATACAAGCCTTTAGACCAATCGATTGGCATGATATCCAGACTCGATTATTTACAGACCGCCATGACATATAGTAGACTCTGTGTAATCCGACACTACTGGGGGCCGGTAGGGATGGGAATGCCGAATTAGACAGTTTCAAGGCTGAAGGCACCCGTATGGCAAGCCGTTTTCACATTTATTACAGAATTACAGATATCTTCAATTGTTTTATTAAAGATATCGGTATTTTATTTAAAGATATCAATAATGTTTTTAAGATATCAAAAAAATAATTAAAGATATCTTAAATTCATTTCTGATATCCATAATACAATTACTGATATCTTAAAATGTTACGGTGATATCAACAAATTATCTCTAAATGTATTTAAGGTATCATTAAACAATTACCATCCAACAGTACATAAATATATTAGAAATAAATTCAAGATATCTTAAATTCAATTCAAGATATCTTGAAATAAGTTATACATATCCACAAATGCATTACAGATATCTTTAATCCAATTAGAGATATCTTTTATTCAATTAGAGATATCTTTAATTCAATTAGAGATATCTTTAATTCAATATATCATTAATTCTGACCGTTACTGATATCAAAGATCCAATTAAAGATATCATTAATAATTGTCAGACAAGAAAGAAACTGTACACGTCTATCAATTCCATTCAAGATATCTTCAATTCATTTCAAGATAATTTTAAAACAATTGAAGATATCTGTAATTCCGTAATAAATGTGAAAACGGCTTGCCATACACCCGCATGATTCGCTCAGTTAGTCTGTCAACCAGCTTATCAATTAAGGAAACCATTATAAGGATTAACCCTGATCAGAGACCATAAAATACATATTGTTTTATGGTCTCTGACCTGGTGTTGCACCACGAAGGAGAAGTTCATTGGTTAATTGTAGATTATACCTTGATAATCGTTAACTGAGTGTTTATTGAAGGTTGTATACTAAATGCATGTACTAATCTTCAAGTGACATAAACAACGTCGTTTCATTTAAAACAATATGACCACAGTGGATTTGTTCATGGGACCATAAACAGTGTGGGGATTCGAAACAGAAAGATGTCGAATACAAACGTTTTGTCAGATTAGACAGATGTCGGATTACACAGAGTCTACTGTAATTGGAATATTGCTAAGTGCGGAGTTAAATAACAAACAAACGGATAGATATACACGAATGCGTTTAAATAAATCCAGAAAATATAAAACGAAATATCCGAAGAATGTAATTAAGTGAAATATTGCCGTACGGAAAGTAGTGTAAGACTCACTTCCTATGTATTTGACATTTTTCCGCTAGAGGGCTTGTACCAAATGCAGCCTTCATGTGACCGAATGATAAGTGGTTGTTTACGATAATTTTGCCATTAGTTTGTTCAAAACTTTTGACAATGTGTCGTATTCAAAGCGTCTACACTTTGGTGTTTTTGTACATTCAGAGTGGAACGTGTCAAGGTAATTTTCTGAAGTAATGTCATGCATTGTTGATAATATGTCTCGATTACTCTTCGGCAAGATCTGGAAAATGGATCTTTTTAGGATTCTGGGCCAGTTTGTCTAAGGTATCCCATCCGTGTCGTAATAGTTGACTGTGCGGGATCCAGTGGCCAGTGTCTGTGACTTGGATGATTGCGTGTCATAATACCCGATAGCGTAGATAGTTGTCGACAGCCGCGATGGGATGCGACAGTGACTTCTGAGGTGGGCATGTCCTGACTGTCGGAGGCCATCGCGATTCTTGGTTAACTACCGGTGACTGGAATATTAGAGCCAACTTTGCTGAATTCTGTGTTTACTCAATCTCTGAATTTAGAAAACTGATAAACCCAGCCAACTAGGTCCAATAAGTCTTTGATGACCTTTTGTGTGTATTAATTTCACATTTAATCTTTTTTTTCTGTTGACCATAGTGCCTATCTCTTGTTTTGAGGGAGTGGCGAATCAAAACTCAAATTCTGCTTCATACCAGTTGGTGATGTCTTCAACAATAGAATACAGCTGCATTCCAAAAGAAAATAAATCCTCGATAAGATGTGTGACCGCCAATGCCTCGTCTGTAAACTTCCGCTGCACTCAAGTGACGTTACACCTGATTGGTTTTGGTACTTAACCCTCTGGCTGCCACCTAAAAATAGCCTGTGTACTATCGCTGTGCCGAGTTTATTTGCGAGTGACGTTCTGGAAACTGCACACTTTCGTCTAAAAACGACGTAACGTAACAACGATAAAACCCACAATTTTCAAATTTCACACTATAACAGCACAACCATTTCCCTAACTGTCTATGTAAATATTGTAAAGCATTAACGTAATTAACAGTAGTTTATAGCTCGGCAAACGTATTGAATATGCGATTTTTTACAAAATGTCCATGGCGGCTGTTTTGTTGACATTGCGCACTGGATACTTTGAGCGTCTTGTCAGGTTGTAAATCTCCACCAATGTAAAAACCAAAAACATTATGCGAAAGCCCGTTTGTTTCCCGATTACCGTGTTGAAAATGAAACATCTCCGTGGAAAATCGTCCGCGAAATCGTCGATTACGAATTTGTTCAAATATGTGTGACGCCATTTTGTCCGTAAATTAGTGAAATTGTAACGTTGTCGTTTGCATATCATGTCGGAAAAAGCATATTAATGAAAAAAACTATTTATGAGTAAGGAATAAAATCTTATCCCTAAAATCTGTGGTTTATTACCTACATGCTGATATAAATTGTAACGTGTAACCTTAGCTATGAAATTCAAAATTACGTACTTTTAGAAAGAAGAGAACGAAATCGCATTTCAAACTAAAACTTATACGCGGTGTTGTGTTTTCTTCATTGCAATAAATGATTTTTCTTTTCGGTCATTATTCATTTTTTAGTAAGAAAATCATACCATGTAATCTGCAAAGAACATGCCCTTATGCATGGCATATTTTTACTTTTCTTGCACCGAAAGGTATTCCTCACGGCTCATGTCAATCAGTTCACTGTAAATACTCCTACCAGGCGATGGCGGACATGTCCATTTGCACGTCGACAAAATTTGCATACAGACGATTGAACGAGTTAGTCTCGTATCTTTATGAATCCTTAATAACGTTGTTTTATTTTCATTTTTAACTAATAACGATTATACAAACACAAAACAATAAAAAAAATTCACATGAAGTAGAAACAATACGAAAATGCCTTTTTTGTTGTCGACAGCTTTAGTTTTGAATATTTCAAAATGTCGTCGACCGTGTTCAGCGGTGTTTGGGATTTTGGATTTACTATAACATCTTTGACAGCAACCGAGATAGTAAGTACATTTGAACATCATTCTGTAAGCAAAGCTTAGTGTTCTAGTGATGGTCTGAAATCTGTCGTAATTTGGAGATGATAAACGCATTGATTCACCAAAGATTCAAACGTTGCGATCTGGTCATATTTTCCCGATTTCCATCTCCGTCCCTGCTTCCATCAGCAGCCACTGAGTGACCATCAAGCAGTATTAAAGACATGGATCCACTGATCACAAACCCAAAGGAACTGTATTAGCTAACATTTATTACAGTCAGATGGATGTATATGTGATTTTTGTCATGAAATGTGCAAAGTATAATCAAAATTGATCTCGATAATTAATCTTTCTTTCGGGAACTTTTTGACGAATGATTTCCATGGCGATGTGGTAGACTAGCTGTTATGAATACCATTATCCGAAGTATATTTCAACGGACATTTAATACAAATCAAACCATGTATTCCTGGTACTGTTTGACGAATTTGAAAAAAGGTAATCTATGAAGAATTTGTAAACACCAAAAGGCACAGGTTACCCGCTCGAAAAAAACGGGCATCATTTCAGATTTGCGCAAGCCGTAACAAATACGTTCACGGCTTGCTGTCTTCTCTCACGTCCGCGCTTGCTCGTGGCATTTACCGCTAAAATTTATGGATAACATTATGTCTGTTGAGCGAACTTTATCAGAATACGTTACGGCAAAGACGTGGCAATTGTCCAATAGTCCTTGCCAAACTGACCAATAGTTAAGGTATAATACAGACAAGAAGAAATTTTCAATTTTTAAGGGTTTATCATAATAAGGATTAGAAGTAAAAAGTTTCTTTAGTTGTGTAGATGTATGTAAGTCATTGGTTATGATAACATTGGAGAATCGATTTCCATATATCAATTAATAATTAAAAAGTATGCTTACATATGCATACATGAATAATCTGTGAACATTTTTGAATATTTTGTTAATATTCCAGAGGAACAACCACACTTTCATATGGCTGTAATTTGAAATACTTTAGAAAATTAATTCTTATTCCAAGGTCCTTACTGTTATACTTACTGTCCTTAATGTCCTTTATTTAATATTTTGAAAAGTATCATCAGTAAAAAATCTTGTAACTGTTTAAATGAGATATATAAGACAAATGTACAAATCTCTCAATCTATACATATTTATTGACAGTATTTACATGTGAATAATATATAAACTTTGTACAATAAAGTTTTAAAAAAAGGCCGCATCTTAGCTGGAATACTGCTGAAAGCGGCATGAATCATACTCACTCTATTTACATGAAGTACATAATTGTGAACAAAAGATCAATAATCCATATACAATGAATCGCCACGAATTAACTGGAATATTGTAAATGTGGCGTTGAATCATACTCACGCACCAACATGTCCTTTTATATATATACACAAATCCATTTTCTATTTACAGTAAATATATATAATATATATCATTAATAGAATTTAATCTATTTACAATTAATCGCTGTGATGTTGCTGCTATATTGCAAATACAGCATGGAGTCATACTCTCACAGATATATCCTGAAATATACAAATAGAGTATTTACAGTAAGTACCAATATACAATATATACAATCTATTTACAAAGATTCGCTGCGATGTTGCTGGAATATTGCAGATGCAGTGGGAAGTCCTACTCACAAACAGATCCTTACATACACACAATAATTACATGTACAATAAATAGAGAACATAATATGAACATAAGTACATTAAACTGCCATATTTTTGCGGGAATATTGCTAAAAGAGGCATAAAACAAACTCACTTCTTTACAATAAGTACATAATCATATACAATAGACAATGATCTATTTACAATAAAATCGCCATGATGTTGCTGTTATATTGCAAATACGGCGTTAGGTCATACTCTCTCACAAAAACATCCTTTAATATATATACACACATATGAAATATTTACAATAAGTACATATATACAATATATTTATCATCTATTTACAAAGATTCGCTGCAATGTTGCTGGAATATTGCAGATGCAGTGGGAAGTCCTACTCATAAACAGATCCTTACATACACATGATACACACAATAATTACATGTACAATAAATAGAGAACATAATATGAACATAAGTACATTAAACTGCCATATTTTTGCGGGAATATTGCTAAAAGAGGCATAAAACAAACTCACTTCTTTACAATAAGTACATAATCATATACAATAGACAATGATCTATTTACAATAAAATCGCCATGATGTTGCTGTTATATTGCAAATACGGCGTTAGGTCATACTCTCTCACAAAAACATCCTTTAATATATATACACACACATGAAATATTTACAATAAGTACATATATACAATATATTTATCATCTATTTACAAAGATTCGCTGCGATGTTGCTGGAATATTGCAAGTGCGGCGTAAGTCCTACTCACTCACTAGTTATTTACAATGAAGCACACAGATGGGGAAACTGCTTGAAGGGTTGATATGATGGAACATGAGTCATGTTCCATCATATGCCAGTACACACAGCCTTTCACTCTTCAATGTGATCAGCTGTGTGATACTGACGGAAACAGCGTGCACAGAGGCCAACGTGGCAGTCAGGACACCAGGTCCTGACCTTTCCTGCAGAGCCATCGATGGCCCTCTGTCTCTTTCTGCAGAGAACACACTGTTTCCTCTTCCCTTCAGGCAGCACTTCTATGAAGTGACGTCCAGTCAGTCGTCGGGAAGGAGGCTGGGTCCTGGGCCTGCCAGTCCTCCTCTTCACCTGAGTGTTCCCGACGAGTGAGTGGAGAAGGGACATGTGGAAGTCCAGACGGGAGGTCGTTCTACCATGGGTGTTCAAGAATGTCTGATAGGCATTAACTGAAATGAAATGAGTATGAAACATTAAAATCAAACATTATGAAATAGCTGTTCAGAAGATAAGGTTCATGTTGATTAATCAGTACAATGAAAATACAGTGGAAGTGGTACCAGATGCGAAATTATTCTGTTATTGTATTCAGTTCATGCCATTTGTTACATATTGGTTAATATTATCAGGATAATGACCGTATAGTTGGTAGTAATGACATAGGTCTAGAATTATAAGTTATTCCTAAATTCCTTGATACCAAATTATTTTATTCTGAATTGCATATAAATAAAATAATTCTTACCTGATGCTGTGAGAAGAAAGTTGATTAAAACTTTCTTCCACAGCTTCACGGAGCGGACTTGGGGATCATAGACACCAATGAGTTGATCCCCAAGGTCAACTCCCCCCATTAGGGTGTTGTACAGTCTAACGACTGAGGGGAGAGTGACAGACCGGCCCCGTGAGTTAAGCCCATCCTCCATTCTGTAAATAAAATATTTCATATTAATTTTTTCAGAAACATGCACATAGAATCTCTATATTCTTTTCATCTTTATGAGAAATTTAAAGTAATTGACACTCATCAAAGCGAACATGTATGAAAGGAAATGGACACTTGGAGTAGGAATCATACTGACTTAACAGCATTACAAATTGGCACTAGTCCTATAAGGACTATTAGAAATGTGCCTTCTTTAACAAAGTTTAAGGGTTTTGCTCTATGTTATTAGTATGTGACTAGTGGACTGAAACTGTTAGTTTCTAACGCTGCTGAACAATGAACAGGATATTGAGCAGTATATTTAATATTTTGAATTTACCTTGGACTACCCATGGTAGAAAGGATTGTGAAGACCTTCCTGTCTGAAAAGAGCACTGCCAGCAGTGGACCCTGTCTTCTCACAATTGTCGAGCCCCTAGGTGGTCTTTTCCCAACGAAAGAGCTCGGCATTCCCTTCCTCCGGACGGCGACAACTCCTGTGCAGAATGTCCCCCTGTCAAATAGAGCATGGCAGAGAGACGGACTGCTGAAGTAGTTGTCGCAGATGATGTGGTGGCCCTTGTCGAGATGCGGTTCCATCAAGTCCATGACCACACTATGCCCAAGACCTTCCTTGGGCGGTGGTCCTCCAAGGTTCCGGCCCTTGTAGATACGAACTTGATGGGTGTAGCCAGTACCCGCCTCGGCAAGGATCCACAACTTCACCCCCCATCTGTGTGCTTTCTTGTTGGCCATGTATTGTACAAGGTGATGTCGCCCTTTGAAGCCAACCATCCTTTCATCAACGCAAACACTCTGGGCCAGCCTGAAAAAAGAAATTGTGTGATATGCAGTACTTAGAAGTTGATAGATGACTAAATAGACACAATTTATGGATAACAACTTATTTATTTACTGTCAAGATGACGTTTTGGTATAGATCCTTATATCTTATTTTTTACTTAAGAAGTTTTCAATAAAAATTTACATGTAACAAGTCCATAACTTTTGGTATATGTAATTTTCATATTGTCATTTTACCGAGATTAATTCATTAGAACCTCACATCAGTGCAACATGAAATAAGTGCCATAATGAATGGTATTCAAATACTTTTCATATGATATATCAGAATGGAGAAAGTAAAAAGGTAACATACCCATGAGAGTTTGCGAATGATCCATTCACAAGATCAAGAACCGGCCTGATCTTGTGGAGGGGGTCATGATCTGGCTGCCCTCGGGGCACTGCAACAGAGTTGTCGTTGCAGTGGAGGAACCGCATGATGACTTGGAAGCGATTCCTCGGCATGATCCCCCCGAAGGAAGGTGTTGATGCCAGCCAGTTCTTGTCCCCCTCATTCCAGTAGGAAGCGATGGTTGGCTTCCTGACGACACCCATGGCCAACAAGAGTCCAAGAAATGCCCGCATTTCTTCCCGGTCAACGGGTCTCCACGCCCGAGCCCTGCTCTGCGGTGATAGCGTGCGGCCCTGCAGGTACTGCTCAGCATACCTGTTTGTCTCCCTGACCAGCAGGTCGAACAAATCAACACCTCCATCCCCTCCTCTGAGTTGCTGGTTGAAATAGCATATAGGAGGGGCATGGTAATCTGAAACATATATCATAATGTATGACCACATGAATTATTATAAATCATGCTGACACATATCATCATATTTGATACATGTACATGTAATGATAATCGCAATATCATACAGCTTATATCCACATTTATAACTAAACATCTAATTAACCTTGTGAAATATAATATGAAACAATTCCTTTCTCAGTTTTGGATGACAGGCATTGTCTATGTTGATTATTAATTCATGCACTTAATGATATGTTTATTTATCAATTCCTGTTACCTGGAGGGTTGACAGGGCCGCACTCCTCGGCAAAGTCAATACTGTTGCCGAGGTCAAAGCTGTCCGTGTCCAGCACGGGCAGCCAGGGGCCACGGACCATTGGTTTGGCCCCTGCCTCTTCTTCAGTCTCCGTGTTTTCCTCATTATCTGAAATTTGAAATAATGTTTCTTATTAATAACAATCCCATATAACAGTGCTAAGGGAAAGGATTCCTTATTATAGGGTTTTGCTTTACGTTATCATTATAATATATGGACTAGTGGACAGGGGTAGAAACTAACAAGTTTTGTCCATTCGTCCGCATAATGATAACATACAGCAAAACCTTAAACATGTTAAAATTGACCAATTTCTACTAGTCCTTAGGATACCTTTACCATTGGGCAGTTTGGTGAGGACTACAGGACAAGTGCCAATTTCTAACGCTGGTGGACTAAAATGTTTTTTTCTATCGCTGCATTTGCAAATTTTCATGGATGTTTCTTATCATAACTGGAACTCAGCAACTGCTGACTCATGTTTTATTATAATTTATTGATCAAGGGGAGATAAATTGATTTGTTAATGTGCCTCTCCCTTGAATGTACTCCTATTTTGCAAATTGCTTCATGGAAGTTTGTCATTTCTCCAATGTATTTTATGTTTGTTATCAATCTTAAATTTCAATAAAAATAAAAATATATTATATATATACATATAGACCTATAGACATATATTTAGTTTATTGAAGGAACTTTTTCAGACCCTGTAGATCAAGTGCATATTTTACAACACAGTATCAATAATCATGTGGCAACTTTATTTTCATCAAGACTAATATTTTGCTTTTAATTAATATGTATAACCTTTGACCTTTTTAGTTTCAGTACAGATTGAACATGTTGAAAGACTTATTCTTCATTACTACTAGATAAAGATAAGATTAGGATAATCATATCATTATGTGCACCACATGAATTTATTAATGACAAATGAAGGGCTTCCTTGAGTAGTCACAGGGAAACAGTTGTGTAATCATGACACAAACATTTTCAGGGTTAGAACTAAAATCAAAAGCTTTACAATGATGGTAAATTTTCATAAAAAAATTGGCCATAGCTTCCGCGGCTCCGGGCTACCTGCCCGGTGAGGGAACATTTGTTCAGTGCGCTGACCCCCCAACCCATTGGCGCAAGGACAACAGTCACTTGGTGCAATGCCACTCCCCTTTCCCCTTAGTAAGTTATAATAAATATTAATCTACATCCTCAATGATATATCAATAACAATTTACATTTAAAATGTATGACACATATTCATTTATTTTTAATATTTCAAAATAAGTAACTTATAGTAAGACCTTTCAGATTTATGAGGACTGACACATTATACTCCTTTAAAAATATGGCTTCAGGTCCAAAGTGTGAACTAGTGTGTCCTTCAAGATAAATTTAATTTTTAACAAAGACAATTTTCCATTAATATTACTGCATACTGCACTTTAGCAAACGCACGTGTAGGCCACATATTGACATGTTAAAATTTCACTACCATGAGAGCCTTTCTTTCAACATGTTCAAATCATTTCTAAGATTCATATTTCATGAAATACTAAACAAGGAAGTTGGCTGTTTCTACTATGTCGATCATGGTATGGTAGATATTTTTAACATTTGAAACATCACAACTGTCAAGAGTACATCTAGCCATACAATTTCGAAAATTGCAAAAACATAACAAATTCCTATTCCCGCCATTGGTTTGGCACTGACAGTACACCTACTCAATTATTAATGAAAATGAATTAATGTTACTTACCGCTTATCTCTTCCTGGGAGTCGGACTCGGAGTCGGAATCGAGAGAATCGACTGGTATGTCCGACTCGAAGTCCGACTCCCCCAAATCATCGTCGTCGCCAATTCCCACCGCAGACATTCCTTCTTGGTTGACAGCTTCGATCGCAATGTTGTCGTCTGTCACATGGGGCTATTTTTATCCCTATGAATATTCATGCTCTCGGCGGGAGGCGAACGTTTCTTAAAATTTGATTTGTGTTCAATGGCTGATTCGATAAACAAAGCACGAAGATAAAGATTAAAGCATATAATGTATAAATATTTACATTGGATGTCATATTTAACACTGTTGGTGATTTCAACATCGAACTTTGTTTTGTTTTACTCGGGCACCTGTAACCTCTGTGACGTGTCATGTCAAAGGTCGCGGGTCACGGTATTTCGTTCCAGACGAACAATCGGAAATTTGCCGCTCTTGCCAACCCCGTTATGGTGGATGATTGAAACCAAACTGTCGATAACCGTAACAGCTTCATTTGTTTTCGTGAAATAAAAAAACTTAGTCTTGCAATAATAATAAGGTATTTAACAATAACAAACCGCATGAATACAAAATTTACATACTTAAATTAAACGAAAGATTATTAATAATTCAGTAATGAATTCTACTGTCAAAGAGCTAGCTATTTATATTTAGACAAACGAACTAATAATAAATATATAGATTCATCGGGGACCGGTATTCAAGTAATTTTAACTGACATTTACACGTTCATACTTCAACATCAAATAGTTCTTGTTTATATACTTATATAACCAATAAATTATAAATATATTCGACACTGCATAAGATCCTATGTGCCGTTGCTACCAACCTACTTTTCAACGTCTTTTAATAAATTGACACGCCTCATTAAACATACGAAAACGTGACTTACATATAATCAGTCACAAAGCATGAACAACACAGACCCAAAAGGGTGTGTCAACGTTTATCATGTGCGTTTTCGTTTCTTCTGGGAGACATGCTTTCGACTTTTTTTCTCTCATGAAAAGTACCGCTAAGCGACCTTCAACTTCGGTCGCCATTTTGTTTTAAGTTTCGGCTAAAAAGTTGCGGTACCTTTTCTGTGTTTTTGCAGAATTTGAGGCTTAGGAAGCATGAATGGAATTTCTAAGTATACGTATGAATATGAGAAGTGGCACATTTTCACACAGACTGTTTTTAAAAGATGTCAGTAGGTATGTATAACTGTATGAATGTTTTTGAATACGCTTTGATATGAATGTGATGAACGAGGCCTTGAACAAATACTGTAAAAAAAATATATACACTCCATTCACCATCGATAAACTGGGCATTTAGTTGGTTTCATTAGCTAATTAATACATAGATGCGTAGATATTTGACCATTTTCAATCTTTTAACCAAAATATTTATGTAGGTTTCAAACATTCCTTCGCATATGGATTTTCAATCAGTCGGTGCAATTTGTTCGAAATGAAAAAATATTTCAATGGCGGCACATTTGAACGAAAGTGTAAACAAGGGGAATTTGACTAACTCCATATGCGTTATTTATTGACAGTAGAGTTGTGAAAATGACACAGATGTGTTGGAAATTTACTGCTTTTTGCGATGTTGCAATTGCTATGGGCTTGGGTTAATCCAAAAATATTTTATTTCAATTCTTTTAACATGATGTTTCAGAAGGACATATATGTCCCTCTGGCACAGCAACTGCGTTTTGTGTAGGGACATATATGTCCAAATGGCATCCAGGGGGTTAAGCAGGGTTTCTAAGAATGAACGGACATGTTTTGGCTCACAGTTCTCAACATATTACTTGCAGGTTGGCATTAAAACTCAAAAAGTAATTGAAAGTTTGAAACCTAGTCACAAATATGAATAATTTTCAAATTATAGTGTTCATACCATTTCACTCTTCCTTTTCATCATGACACAGACGCCAAACTTCTGAACAATGACTGAATGTCCTGACAAGGTGAACAGTACTTTACATGAACCCAATGATGACACGCAGAACTAGTGCACTCTTACGTTATAACATGTCAAAATCACTTCAATATGGCTGTTCGAAAATAGGTGTCCTTCAAAACTAGTGTACTCTGTGATATATATGTACATTTTATGTGGTGATATATAGGACAAAAATTGGGAATTTTGTAATAGCTCTTGTATTTGTTTGTTCGCTCTATCATCAGTAGCCATGTCTATGGGTTCCTCGTTCTTTTCTATGATCCACAGTATACGTACAGTGTTCCCCACAGTGTTGATCTCTGTCAAAATCACCCAACAATTAATTTATTAAAAACCCTGTCATTCATGCATACTTGTGACCTTAATATCTGATGCCAGGAGCCATTTTCAGACTAATCTGATCATTCCGTACCGCTCAGGATCTGGGTCCCGTTCCACAAGGCAATCGTAGCGCTAAGATGATCTTAAAGCCCATACTTTAACATAGACTAACGGCAGTCTTAGCGCTTAGATCGCTTTGTGGAAAGAGACCCTGGTATATTACGGAACGGGATGAGTGTGCCAAATGGCATTGTGACAACACCATGGCTGTCTGTAACATTAGCTAGCATCCATCACCTCTTTGTCCCTTTCTGTAATTGTTTAGCCAAGGCTAGGTAAATTGCATTAAGTTTAACAGCATGGACGTAGCCTAGTGTCTTAGTTTGTCGGGTTAACAGGCCAACGCTTGTGAGATCAAGTCTTAACAGATTCTCTTAAAAACTGGTTACTTGTGTCAGTGACGTGACCAACAGCAGAGATCACCCCCATTAGAAGTTGTTGTTCTGAATTCTATACACGTGAAAATCCAGGGTAGAAAAGGTCTTCAGCAACCCATGCTTGCCGTAAAAGGCAACTATGCTTGTTGTAAGAGACGACTAATGGGATCGGGTGGCTCGCTGACTTGGTTGATGCTCATGATGTCAATCAATGGATTGTCTGGTCCAGATTGGTTTATTTACAGACTGCCGTCATATAGCTGTAATATTGCTGAGTGCAGCGTTAAACAACGAACAAACAAACAACTGAATTCTAAGGATGCTCCATGGCATTCTGTATTTGTGGTTGTGACATAGCTTTAAGCATGTTAAGAAATAAGCTTTTTTCCCTTTTATGGCTGACTATGTATATATTAGTGATTGCAACTATGTACTGATTCATGGTTGAACATACATGATCTAATGAACCATTTTTTAATTCTCTGCAGAATGGGCCTGGATAGGGGGAGATAATTCTGTTGGAACACTGTCATCATCAAGTGGCCCAGGTGCTCGCAGTGGCAGCAGTGTTTGGACAGATGAAGATGGCAACACATGGTTGTTTGGAGGCAAGGGTTTCTCTGATATCAGTGATGGCAAACCCAAACTCCTCAATGACCTATGGTACTTCAACATGCAAGATAGAAAATGGAACCTAGTCCATTCAGGAACTGTTAGTAAAGCTGCCTCTGACAGCAAGGCTCCGTCGCCAAGGCAACAAGCAGCTGCATGTGGTTTTACAAAAATAACAATGGTTGTGTTTGGAGGTCTTGATAATGATGACAATGGAATTGGAGATACTTGGGTGTATTACATGCAAAAGAAGAAATGGCTGCCGTTATCTGATATTTATAACTACACTTCAAAATCTTATAATTCTTCCCTGGAAATGCCCCTAGGGCGGGGCGACATGGCATCATGGTGCATGCTGGATAGTATGTATGTGTTTGGAGGAATGGATAACAGTAAAAAGATTTTCAATGACCTTTGGAAATTTTCTCTCAGAGATTTAAGATGGTCAGAAGTTATTTCTCCCGACAAGCCATCAAGTCCAAATACTAAGCCTGATAGTTACCCTCAGGGCCGAAATGGGCCGACGACATGGAAGGGCAAAGGTAATACCCTTTTTATGTTTGGTGGAAACATATTAGGTACTAATATACGTAGTCGGCATTTGAATATGGGGTATACATCAGATATGTGGAGATACCTTGTTCACAATAACACATGGGAATTTTTAAGTGGGTACAGATCAAGTTGCCATCCTGCAGTGTATGGGAGGAAGCATGAATACTCCTTAGACAACCACCCAGGGTGTAGACGGCGAGGATCAGCATGGACAGACACGGCAGGGCGCCTGTGGTTGTATGGAGGGGATGGGACGGATAAGGCCTACCCATCCGTTTTCCATTCATCCAAGCTTCTCTCCGATCTCTGGATATACAGTCCAAGAGGAAAGGTATGGGTCTGGTATGGAGGAAGTAACGAAGGAGACACAGAACCAAAGTACTTCTGGAAGAACCATCCTCGTGGGGATGCTCTGCCTGGGGGGAGATACGAACCAATGTTCTGGACCGGAGCAGAGAACACCTTCTACCTGTTTGGGGGCCTTGGCCATGATGGACACAATCACGATGGCTACTTGAACGACCTGTGGATGGTGGATTTGAATTACCTGGTGCAGAGTAAGGGAGTTCCTGCAGGTGCTCTCATACTGTATCTGCTGATGGCGATTGCTCTTGTTCTCACTATGGCTGGGATCTTCCTGTACGCACGAGACAGGCGAGGACCTTCTATTTGGAGTCGTCTTGATAATAGTGTCAAGTACAGCCAGCTGAGAACAACAGGAGATTAGATTTGATTTTGAATTCTCTTGTAAAATGAAAATTAATTCTAGCTTTTTGAGTATAATTATGGGATATTATATGTGGTTCGCCTCGTCACAAGGATAAACAGTGATAAGTAAGGCTAAAATGTTTGCTGCAGGGATTTTTCTAGACCTGCTCAGAGGCCGACATTCGGCCCCAAATCTGCAACAAATGTCGGTACAAACTTGCAATTTAAAATTAAAATTTCCAATTTCCTCAGAGTTTATGAACCGTGAAATAATCCAATTTTGAACAAAATCCCACACATTTTCCCAATAAGCCTGCCACGGGCACTTAGTTTGCAATCCTTAACAAATCCTTTGTGTTGGTAGGCACCATAACATCAGATTGGAAATCAGGACGTAAAAGGACGTAGATGTGAAACTTCTATTGTCACCATTTTTCAAGTCACTGTTCCAACCAAGCAAACTGAATCTTATTTGTTATTATATGAAGGATAATATTGATAATAATTAGGAATCCACAGAGAAACTTGCAAAATGATACAAATATGAAAGACATGTATTAACTTAAGTCCTGTGTGATATGGACATATGACGAGTATACTAAGCTGTCAAACCAAAAATACTCAATAATCAGTATAAATCATGCATTCAAAAGACTTTAAAGTAAAATGATGGCTTTCCAAATGTATAAATTTGCACAAATCCTTAAAACGTGTGTTTAGCAACAAAAAATTCTCACTGAGATGAACGTACAAGCCTGTGGCCTCTAGGATTTCCTGCGTTTTTTTGTATGAAAATCAAAGAGTTTTGCCTTGAAACCTTCAGGTACTTTTCTGTTTCTGTTACTGGTAACCCTGATAAGATTTCTAGGATCAGCTCAGTGGAAGCGTGTTATCCTTACGGATATTTGTAGCTTGCTTTTTATAAATATCTTTATCAATTCTGAAACCTTACGTAGCATTCACATACTACACTGAACATACTGAAGAACAGGGATGAAAGAAAAGCACACTGTCTCCTCCGCTGTGGTATTTTGCTGTAGTGCTAAGCATTGCTTTAATACTATGTTCACTCAATCACTGCTTTGGGTGATCAGGGTAGAAGGTGGTGTCACTCATCTGTGCAATGAGATGATTGTTTGTAACCACGTTATTATTTGTGAGTGTGTGATGCTGCATAATTAGCTGGCCATGTTGACTATGGTGTAATCATTAAGAATCATTAGCAAATGACAATACATAGTGTAGTTGTTGTGTTTATGTCTGTATCTGAATATTTGTCTCTTTCGGATAGGGGGCACGGGTGGCCAAGGCGTCGCGATTTGCTGTGCAGAGTTGCGTCCCTTGGGCACGCCAGAAACCTATGATTGTGGGTTCGAATCCCGGTTCGACCCGATTATGTTTCTAGGTTTGTCAGCACCATACCTGTGCTCGTGGGTTTCACCGAAGTGGTAAACGTCTGAGACCTGCATCACTTCGGGCTTTCCTCCCACATTAAGCTGACACGTCGTGATATAACTGGAATACTGTTAAAAGTGGCGTTAAACCCAACCCACTCACTCACTCTCTTTCGGATATTTATTTTTTTTTCTGTTTTGAACATGTTGAACTATATTGTTATGCAAACATTTGTACTTTCCTCAAGACGTCCTCCCTCACCATCATTTGTAGGTGATACTGAAACGGGCTCCATCTGTCCGTCCGTCACAATTTGTGTCCATATTTCCCAAGCCAAGGGTGATTCTTGTTATGAATACTATTTCAATTTGTCGTTTTCCCCTGCATTCAAAGCAGGCTTTGCTTCCAAATCCCACATTTTTAGGATTTGCATTAGCTTGTCAGTCTGTGACATAAACCTTTGAAGTCTACTTGCCCGAACCTAGCTCTTACTGTGTTATAACATCATTTGTAATAGATTTTAGTGTTATAATGTGGACTCTTATTGGCTGTGCTTAGACCAAAGAAAATTTTAATAGACTAAGGTTTCAGACGAGTGGATTAAATCACATACTAGCTTATGCATGTGCACACACTTCAACCAGCATGGCTTCGGACTGAAGCTGTACCTTTTGATGTCAACTTTTTAAGTCACTTAGATTATTTCTGAAGCAGTAGGAAACCTATGTGGTTGCCGATATAGATGTCTCAATTCTTCTTGTTTTGACTGTGCCCTTGTTGATACACACATGTAACCCTTGAGGACCAAGTGTTAAAGTTGGTGAAAGTGTATAGCATAATATGTGACATGATGTGGCCTGTAATGGGATGTCCTCAGATCTTTGTGTTGCGGTAGCAAGCACTGAGACTGCAGGCCATGTAGTGTTCTTAAACAGTATGTTGCAGGCCATGTAGTGTTCTTGAAGAGCATGTTGCAGGCCATGTAGTGTTCTTGAACAGAATGTTGCAGGCCATGTAGTGTTCTTGAACAGAATGTTGCAGGCCATCTAGTGTTCTTAAACAGTATGTTGCAGGCCATGTAGTGTTCTTGAAGAGCATGTTGCAGGCCATGTAGTGTTCTTGAAGAGCATGTTGCAGGCCATGTAGTATTGTTGAACAGAATGTTGTAGGCCATGTAGTATTGTTGAACAGAATGTTGCAGGCCATGTAGTGTTGTTGAAGAGCATGTTGCAGGCCATGTAGTGTTGTTGAACAGAATGTTGCAGGCCATGTAGTGTTGTTGAACAGTATGTTGCAGGCCATGTAGTGTTGTTGAACAGTATGTTGCAGGCCATGTAGTGTTGTTGAACAGTATGTTGCAGGCCATGTAGTGTTCTTGAAGAGCATGTAGCAGGCCATGTATTGTTGTTCAACAGTATGTTGCAGGCCATGTTGTGTTCTTGAACAGAATGTTTCAGGCCATGTAGTGTTCTTGAAGAGCATGTAGCAGGCCATGTAGTGTTGTTCAACAGAATGTTACAGGTCATGTAGTGTTGTTCAACAGTATGTTGCAGGCCATGTAGTGTTCTTTAACAGCATGTTGCAGGATGTTCAGTGTTCTTGAATCATCATCAATGTTCAAAATAATGGGTAAATGCCAAAGTTGGCCTTGTCATAACCACAAAGTTAAATGTTTTAGGGGGTCCCTAGATTCAAATACTCCTCCTCCCCCTTAATTTTGAACACTGAAGATGATCCTGACTTCACTGTGCTTGTGGATGTTTCTACAGATATTTGACTTTGTTTGGCCCTCCCTCCAGGATGTGCACCTGAGGGGTTTAAAGGGAGGGTGGGAGGCTGTTGTGTATAGGCTGCTTAGGCTTTATACCTCAAGATGCCTTATTACATTAATTTAATAACAGGGTCTTACCTTGACCAACAAAATTAGGGGTCCAGGGGACCCCCTAATAATTAATTTCAAGGGTCCTTACAGGTACAGTGAGGGTCCCGTAATGTAATGTAAGAATTGTGCACTACAGTGTAAGATTTGAAAATTACTTTAATTACAGGACCATTATGTTTCTTGTCAAGAATTAGGTACAATGAATATTATTGTGCATCCCTCGGAATGCAATATATATTTTTTCTGTTTCCCTTCTACAATGTTCTATACATTTGTGCTTCCAGGACATTTCTACTCTGTGTGAAAATCCTGTAATAATCCTGTTATATATGGTTGAACCAGTTCTATATGATGTTTTACAGATTTTCTTAGACATTTTGTAAAGATATGATTGAGCTAATGCATGAATGTTGTTGTGTGACAAAGGATATGGTTCTAGAATGTTTAAAGCAATCCAACAATCGATGGGTGATATCACACACAGGTCATTTCTCACTGGTGGTTTATGTGATGTGACAAGATGTTTGTTTATAAGTCGAGTGGTAGTTGTTGCTTAAAGAGTAGGGAGTCATTTTCTTTTCCGTTCCTCTTCTTGATGGATGTGACTGGTGGCCATTATTGCAATAGGAAAAGGGGTCAAAACCCCATGGACACTCTGGACAATATGTTATTCCCTACAGGACATAATAGTAGACTGTAGGCAACGCAAAGTAGATTCTACCTAGGTGGATTTTGATTAGATATTTTTTAGTGAAATAATTCAGAATGAAGCAATCCTTTTCTTCTACCTTTGAGGAATGTAGTATTTGTATTAATATGATTTCTCAAATTAATTCATTTTGGTTTAAACCAAGATGTACTTGTGTAAAAAGATGTTTTGATCCATAGTACACCAGTACTTGTTTTGATATCATATTTATATCTTCCAGCAATGTTGTAGGCATTTTTATATCACGATCATTTATAGAAGTTGTAGCCATGACATTTAGATCCAGAAATTGTGACGTTTCATCAAGTCATGTTGACGTCACATTCTTGGTATTGTGACATTATAATCAAGACATGCATGACATCTGTTCAATGTCCTAGTTGTTTCCGGACATACTTTGCCAGATGTCTGTTAGGGGCACGCACAAACCTTTGTTAATAATGTGAATACTCAAATGTTTGTATTTTCCCCATTTTCCATCCTCAATTAGCCAGTGTATTATGTATTCATTATGATGATAAATACACCGGACCCATTCCCCACCATAACTTCTATTGGAAGGGTCATTTTTATCCCAATTTCTCTTATCACCAGCTTATCACAGAATTTCTCTCACTCATGGACTTCAAGAATCAAAATGACTTTTTTGGGCCATGTTTCCCAAAGCAATAGTAAGATGTTGTGAGCCTATGTTGTAGAATGGGAGTTATCTTAGCACTATGAGCCCCGGACAATAGTTCTACATTAAAAATGCAGTTTCGTACGATTGAGCCTTTGATTGTGTTATCGATGCCGATTGACAGGGGTGTCCTATGGCCTTTCCACAAAGCAATCTATGCACGAAGACAATAGTAACTCCTATACTTTAACATAAACTTACGACAGTCGTAGCGCTAAGATCGCTTTGTGGAGCGGGACCCTGGTGTTCCCAGGTCAAGTCGACCTATTTCTAATTTTGAGAGCGCCCTGGGCGCTTATTACGTCGAATACAGTATTTATTGAGTGAGTGAGTGAGTATGGTTTTACGCCGCTTTTAGCAATATTCGAGCAATATCACGGCGGGGGACACCAGAAATGGGCTTCACACATTGTACCCATGTCGGGAATCGAACCCGGGTTAGAACAGCGTGACGAGTGAACGCTTTAACCACAAGGCTACCCGACCGCGCCCCCCGGTATTTATTGTCATGTCAGAGCAAATGTTTGGTGGTAAATGGGTCCAGAGTATTTATCCATATTAGTACGAATCATAATACGCTTGAAAAACATTAGTGAAGGATGTCCATTTTCCTGTGCCTCCAGAGTCACTCTAGTATCTGTGATGAATCTTGTGTTGTTACATATCAGTTCTCATGCTTGATGTGTGTCCATCAACATTCCAGGTCCTGTCAAGCATTTATTTCAAGCATAATCAGAATTTTTAACATTGTACATACTTTTTATTTTATTGATCAAAATATAAGATCAGTATTTTGTATACATTTGTAATGTATTGTAATCTGTGTCCATGTAAAATATATCATTGTTTGAATTGAGCATATTTTGATAATCAGTCTTTCTTTTTATCAGACATGAATACAGAAATATTAATCAATGTTGTAATTTAATATTGATGAGTTATATGATGGATGAATAACTGTTTACATCACAATGTGACAGTGCTAGTTATTATTATGTGTGTAACCATTATTTTGGGACACAGTAAGGCTCGTGAGGTACTTTTGGAAACACAGTGTACTGTCATTTTCTGGAAATTAATCACTTCAATTTGGCTTACGATACCCCAGAATATGACAGTGGTCCCAACCACCATTGATAAATAGTTGACATGTGAGCATCATTACCTATATCTTTTAGGTCATTGAAAAGTTGCCCAGATCAACAACTGTTTTTGTTTTATTAGTTTCTTGAATGACTGTGCTTTTGATTTGATTAATAAATAAGGTCCAGTTTAAACGTTCATTGGCCTTTCTACAATGCTAACAAAGGTGATCAGCAGTAATCAACATCAAGACCTCCCAATAACACCAGGGGCAGGATAGGTCTTCAGCACATGCTTGCCATAAAAGGCGACAATGCTTGTCTTTAGAAGCAACTAATGGGATTGGGTGGTCAGGCTCGCTGACTTGTTTGATGCATGTCATCGATCCCAATTGCGTGGATCGATGCTTGTAATGTCAATCACTAGACTGTCTCGTCCAGACTCGTTTAATTACAGACCGCCGTCATATCGCTGGAATATTGCCGAGTGTGGCATTAAACAGCAAACAAACAAACAAACAATAACACATGTCTCCTGCCGAGATAATGCTATAATATTGCGTCATATCGCTGGAATATTGCTTAAAGCGGCGTAAAACCATACTCACTCAATAACATAAATGGGATGTATGATATTATTGTAGGTTATGTACTTAAAAATAAATATAGGCCAGAGGTAGATCAATGATTTTGAAATATAGGGACGCACGTAATACCAAGGGTGCAGTTAACATGCAAGGTGTCTGAAAAGGAGGCGCACACGTACATGCACATGCACATGCCCATGCACACGTACACTGGATCCGCCAGTGTAAACTACATTTTTAAAAATGAAGTAATGACTAAAGAGACAGCTGGCCGACTTGTGTGCCATGGTTTCCCAACAGTATTGATTGTTGCTCGTGCTATCAACCACTGGTGTGCCAGGCCAAACTTGGCTCAAGACTGCTGTGATATAACTGGAAATAATGCAGTGTAAAACAAACATTCGCTTGCTTTTTTGTATCTGAGTGAATGAATATAATAACCAAACTGTTAATATGGTTGACACTTTATCACTGTTAGCGATTGGTGAAATAAGATGCGATTCTATGGATTGATGAGGGAGTTCTTGTAATGCACTTGCCATGTATACCTTATATATAATGAATTTTACATCCTTAATTTTACTCTGAAAATAGGCTAAAAGAAGAGTACCAAATGTATTTTAATTTGGCTTACTGCTTTCAATCATGACATATCACTTACATTTTGAAGACAATTGTCAAATTTACATGACTTTTGAGTATTTAGCCAGATATAAGATTATGAAAATGACTAATTTTGTTACATGTACATTTTCTCAAAGATGTCAATATCAAACACATGTAATAATATTTAATTCTGTGGCCTTATTTCAAAAGATGTATTTTTGTGCCCTTTAGCCAAACAAACACTATGCATCATATGTCAACTGTTTTCAGCTTCTTTCAGCCATCACTTTGAACAATTACATGCGTACCGGGTATGTCATTTCCACCCCGTCACTTACCGTATTCGACGTAATAAGCGCCCAGGGCGCTCTCAAAATTAGAAATAGGGGGCTCTTATTAGAATATTATTTTGGTGAAAAAGACAGAGTTGAAAGATAAATTTCGTGGTTTATGCTGACAGCCAGAATTTAAATGCACATAATTAAAGGTGCATATAATACACGAGTACGTATTATACGCGAATAAATAAGTGTTGTATACATTGATCAATCGGAAGGGGTGCTAATTGGTATTGTTGACTAGCAAATATCGCCATGGGCGCTTATTAGAGCAAGGCGCTTATAACGTCGAATACGGTACTACTGTTGCATTTTTGCATCTTGTATTTCTCAATGTTATTGTCTGTCTTGCAAGTCATTATTTTTAGACAGAATTGTACCTGGTTGCATCAGAATCAGAGTGGCAAAGCCAGTGCCTGTCTGCCATGTTTGTTTGTATTCATGTAATGAAAAAAACCATGACCAAACTTGATTCTTGTTTGTCTTGCCCTTTTTTGGATTTGATATCTGTTCTTTTCATACATGTCAGGGAAAGCAAGTGTGCTCTGTGGGGTCTCCATGAAAGATTTGTAAATTTCAGATGGTTTAGTACTTGTGTGACAGACCATCGAGACTGATTGTGTGCTCACTCTATCAACCACTGTCTTGGCTTGTTATATGCTTGATTCTGTTCAGGTTGCCATGCTACCGCTGTAAGCATGCGGACTATGGCACCCCATTCACCATAAGAAGCAAGTATCGGCACATTCTCACCATGTATTATTGTTTGTAGGGCTGTCCAAATTTACTACCCGGGTACCTATTGTAGGTCTCAAGAGATAGGTTCAAAATGTCCGATTGGCAATTGATTTATTGGAGCCCTGGCAAAAGGTATTTACTAAAAATAACCAATCAGGTAGCTTTATCTTATTTAAACAGAAGGAAAAATATGTTTGTTTGTTGTTTGACGCCGCACTCAGCAATATTCAAGCTATATGGTGGCAGTCTGTAAATAATCCAGTCTAGACCAGACAATCCAGTGACTGACATCATGAGCTTCAAATTAACTAACTGGGATACGATGACATGCATCAACCAAGTCAGCGAGCCTGACCACTCGTCATGCCAAAGACCCAGGTTCGATTCCCGACATGGGTACAATGTGTGAAGCCCATTTCTGGTGTCCCCTGCCGTGATATTGCTGGAATATTGCTAAAAGCGGCGTAAAACAATACTCACTTTAGTCACCTTTACAAGCTTAGTCGAAAGAAATGCAAACAAGAGGTGACTTGTACTGTAGCCATGGATTTATAGTGATTTTTTATTTTTGTCATAAAGCAGTATATCACATGACTAAAAATGTGTCGGGGTAGTCCTGCTGGTACCAAGGTCCTACTCAGGACCCACCTGACCCGAGTACCTGTCCCCTCGCAAATTATAAGCTTGAAGTTAGGCTTGATTAAGTTTAATGCATAACCTTCAGAATTATTTGGATGAATTTATTAATTCACACACACAGAGGTTTCATTGATTCATTGGCTGTTGACTGCTCATGTTCCAGCCGCATTTCAAACAGGGTCTATTGATTGGTTGTGTGCGTTGATGTCATGTTTGTGCCGGTCGTACAGTACAGTGGCACTAACTAGGGTGCATTTGTTTGTCACATCAATGATGAGGATCATGTTTATAGCTGTTTGATGGTTTTATTGAAATAAATATCTTTGTGAAATCACTGTTCGACTTATCTTTAGTCAACAACCACCACATGCCATGCCTCATTACTGCCCCTTGTCCAGTGGGAGAGTGTGAACAGGAGAGATTTGGGTTTGAACCCGCTTGGAACAATATTTCAATCAAATCGTGTGGGATGAAAGCCCAAAGTGATGCAGGTCTTAGACAAACCAATGATAGTAATGAGTGAGTGAGTTTAACGCCACTTTTAACAGTATTCCAGTTATATCATGGCGTGCCAGTTTATTATGGGAGGAAAGCCCGAAGTGTGATGCAGGTCTCAGACTTTTACCACTTCGGTGAAACCCACGAGCAAGGGTATGGTGCTGACAAACCTAGAAACATAATCGGGTCGAACCAGGATTCGAACCCACAATCATAGGTTTCTGGCGTGCCCAAGGGACACAACTCTGCACAACAAATCGCGGCGCCTTAGACAACTGGCCACCCGTGCCTCCTCATAGTAATCAGTGTGAATCTGCCATTCAAACCCACAATCAGGAATCTGACAGTGTGGCACGCCCACACAGCAAATTTCAGCAGCTTAGGCGACTGGGCCACACGTGATCTCAGTGGTAATCTATTCAAAAATCTATTGGGACACACAAAAAACATGAAAACTGCATTTGCACAAAAATAATTTTATACGTAAAATGTTACAAAATGGTTTCCCCTTCAAACAGCTACTACAGCACCCTGTTATCACATTATCAGGGTCATTAAAAGTCTCAATCAAGTTGTGATAATTAAATGATTGTGGCACAGCATACCAAACCCACCGCCCATCATTCAGGAACCTGTGTTTGAAATCAGCTTTAGTGTAACAGTATATTATTTATGATTACCACTTCTGGACAGATCAATGACCGTATGTTATTTCCGTGTTGTAAACATAAGGGTGTTGCCTTAACTGCTTGAAAGTGTGGTGTCAAAGTTTTATGATTACCACACAAGTGTATAACCTACTGGTAATATGAATAAACCAGGATAAGTTGAACCAACTCAGAAAACGCATTCGAGACAAGTAGGAGCTGCACAGAATTTGAGCAAACATTTTTCGTTTGTTACAGGTAGAGAGGGTGTACCCATGTTGTGCACATGCATGACATGATGATGAAATTGACTACGCTCCCGTGGACACGCATGAATCTCTATTAAGAGGTCAGTGTGACAAGAACTTGTTAGCCGAGACAGGACATGCATATACATACCATTGTGAGGAACGGGGTTGCAGGTAGTATGATGTATGCTCCAGTGGGCAGAGATCATACATAGCCATACAGGGTTAATTGTGAGGTCACTTATTATTGCCATTTTCAACTTATCCTGGCTTACCAGTACTATCATAACTCATCCTCAGTTGTCACAGCATTTTTTCATTTTTATGGATGCAGACTGCAGACAAACTAGCCTTGGTGGATCCAAATAAAGATATCAAATATTAAAATGTAGATCTGAATATTTGTTTTATTTCATTTGTCACAGCATTGTGTAAGATGTTTGATTAAGATTTTACACACAAAAAAGATTTTTGTTACATTCTGTGGAGCAAAATGCCAATCAATAAAAGATTATTTTTCCTTTCATTTCTAGCTGGTGGCTGTTTGCTCCAGTTGGCTGAACCAAAACCCAGCCCCTGGTCACACACGAGCAGCTAGGTTGTCCACTGGGTTTGCTATGCTGTGCAGTGTGACATGGAATGTTTATCCCGGAGCTCCTGAGAAACTAAAGAGACTCCTACAATAACCATCTGATCCACAGGGACTTGAATTACTGCAATGTCTTTAAATAATTCCCATGCTATTCACAAAGTACTTTGAAGAACATGTTTTGTGAGTGTGTTCCAAGCCCCTGTGATCTGACCTCATTCAAGTAAGCTTTTGTCTAACAGCTTTCCATCAAACCATTGCCCTTAATTAAGCATATTGTTTTGAACATTTTGATTTAACAAAACAAATGAAGCTGGCAAAAAAAAGAAGACATCTAACCTCTTACTTCTCATAAAAACAATTATCTGATCTAAAAGAATAAGAACTCATCCCCATTCCCCAAGCTCTATAAGTTCAGGTCTTCATTTTCCAAAGCCAAACAACTGTATTGGGTGTCCAGTATGTGTGATAGCAGGATTCTGTTCCTTGCTTCCATAGAACAGTTTGCCATGAGAGTCTTCACTGACTGAAAAGCACACTTATAAAAATCCTGGTACACAGGACCGATTCCCAGAACACTGTTCATCAGTAGACCACACTAATCTGAGAGCTCTCCTGTAAAGAGATCCTACAATTAGCTTAAGAGAAAGATAACAACTGTTGGAGAATCTGTTGATGAAGCAAGTGCTCCGACATTAGCACTTATACCTGACAGAAGTGAGTGGGACTATATACAGAGACAGACACAGGGTCAGAATGCTGAAATATTAACGGTTAAAAAGTACACAACGTTACAGACACTAAACACTTGCCCACTGAACAGACTGGAAGCAAGCTAGCTGCTTCTGCAGGTAAAGCTGAAATGACACTGGAGAAAATATGGTAGGCTCTCCTCATGTGGGATTCCACCTCTCGCACTCCAGGCATACAAACTGGAGCTAATAGTATACAAAGGGCACCCTGGATCACGCAATAAGGACTTCTGTTGACAGAAATATTATTCAGATACAATTGAAAGAAAACTGGTTCCAATCGGTCAAATATGAGCAGTCACGTGACCGATATCTTTAGTTCCGAGGCACAGAAAATTACAATTTTGACATCAGGACACAACAGTGCGAACATCATACAATGTTTCATTTCCTGTTCCTTGGTAAAACTTTAAGTACAGCTATAGCCATGAGCTCTTTGGAGACATAAAACTTTAGATATTGTACTGTGAAGATTATGTTGATAAATACCATCAAACACAAACGCAAGCCTCAACTTGTTTCCAATCACTTTAAAAAATTCAACTTATATTGTCAATATTGAAGAACAAGGGAATGTCTTGTTTGTAAAAGTCTGACTTTGAGACACTATTTATAATTATTGACAGTATAAATTACCATGATAATAGGGGTAGATATTTCTCTATCCATAAAAAATGAGGATGACTAAATGCTCTAGATGAGTAACACATTGATAAATAGAGGGGAACAAATATCCAGTAGATTTAAAAGTGATTTTTGTTTCTACAGCAACTTCCTAAGGGTGTGAAGCAAAATCATACAACAAATGTCTTAAATATAAAAATGAGCATTTCTGATTAAATGCATTGTTATATTACCCTTATCTGACACTACACAGTGCTAAAGGTGTAGCGTCAGGTAAGGTAAAACATGTGATTTCCTTCACACCAGCTGTGATTTCCTCCACAAAAGCTGTGATTTCCTTCACACCCGCTGTGATTTCCTTCGCACCAGCTGTGATTTTCTCCACACTGGATGAGATTTCCTTCACACCAGCTGTGATTTTCTCCACACTAGATGTGATTTCATCCACACAAGATGTGATTTCCTTCACACTAGATGTGATTTCCTTCACAACAGCTGTGATTTTCTCCACACTAGATGTGATTTCCTTCACAACAGCTGTGATTTCCTTCACGCCAGCTGTGATTTTCTCCATACAAGATGTGATTTTCTCCACACCAGCTGTTTTTTTCTCCACACTAGATGTGATTTTCTCCACACTAGATGTGATTTTCTCCACACCAGCTGTTTTTTTCTCCACACTTGATGTGATTTTCTCCACACTAGATGTGATTTTCTCCACACTAGATGTGGATGTGATTTCCTGCAGACCAAACTAAAGAAGTGACTTTTGCATCTCCAAGGAAGATTTGTATGGTTGGTAGACACTGTGTCTGACACACAACTTTCCTTTCTTTCTTTTTTCTCAAATGGAGAGAGTTGAATACGGAATCAATTTCAGTTTAACCAAAGTGAAATGGTCAGTCCTTAACCATTCAATACATGTGCAATATCATTGTCTAACTACATCCCTTAAAGTTCTTTTTATCAGAGAGCTGCAAGGATGATCATAGCATACAGCTGAATATACGGAGTTAGTGTACCTGAGTTAGTTGTAGCGAAATTAAACTACAGCATCCAGCCTCATTCTTAATTAAATGTTAATCAATGTATCAAAAACAATCTTGTCAAATCGTTCCACCCTTTCTCCCTAATAATAATACATCTTAAACCGACTGTCTCCTTCAAAAATCTGTTCTATTCCTCATGATTAATCAATGAAATGTTTCCTTGCATTAACAGGGAAATAATTAAAAGTCAGTATGTACATACTAGCTGCTTTGTTTCCAATGCATCATGAATATAATACACATCAATTTACAGTAATATAAGAAAATATGGAGAGGATTTCAAATGGCTCAGAGACAGCAACAACACTCGACACAAGACAGGATGACATGACAAGCACAACACTCCACACACAGCAACAACTGCAGTGTCACCATCTTCCCTAGGCAAGGGAGTTAACTGACTGTAAGAGTCCAGTTTCCACCCTTGACGAACTAGACACCCTGTTGACGGCACACATGCTCCGCAAATCCTGCAGTCGACTGAATTCTGCACGGCAGTCGCTATGTTGTTTATGAACCGGATGTCTAGTTCGTCACTTGATTTTGATTGGACTATGCATAGACTCGTTAGTCCAGCCAAAACGTAACTCCATAATTCCTACCTAGTTCGGCAAGGGTGGAAACTGGGCTTTTATAGTCAGTTAACTCCCTTGTCTCGGGAAGATGCAGTGTCATTGACTCAACACACCTTAGAAGAACAAATTAGTCCACACAGAGATAGAACATTCATGAATTCCTTGAGTGTATGGTTGTCAACTTTGTGGATTCTTTTCCTGGATTCACTGGATAACATTTCAAGTGGCATGTTGATGTACATATTTATGTTTAGAGCACTGTAGCATCACTTCAGGCTTTCCTTCCACATGAAGCTGACACGCCATGATATAACTGAAATACTGTTCAAAGTGGCGTTCAACCCAACTCACGCTCTCGCTGACCTAGAGTGTTGTCAGCCAAGTGTTCATGACCTAACACTGTAGATACATCCAAAGAAAGATGGTAATTACTGAAAGAAAAACTAGATGTAGTTTCCTATCAAAGTCCTAAAATGTCACAAGCAAAGTCTCGTAGTTTTGAAGGACTGAAGAGTCCACATGACGTAAAATTAAATTCATTTACGTCAGCACTTCACTTTACACTTTGCCTAAGGGACCAGTCATTTATTAAAGGACACAGGGGCAGAGTTCATTAGAGGATTAATTTTCAACCATTCACTCCTGGATTCAGAGTGAGAATGGTTTTACGCTGCTTTTAGCAATATTCCAGCAATGTCATGGTGGGGGACACTAGAAATGAGTTCACACATTGTATCCACATCGGGAATCGAACCCGGGTCTTTGGCGTGACGAGTGAACGCTTTAACCACTAGGCTACCCAACCTCCCCCCTATATTCAGAACCCACACTTGTAAGAAAGTATTTTGAAAATCACATGGTCATAATGATCTCAGAAACTGTATACCTATTTCCTTGAACTTTACCTTGATGTGTCAAGAGTGTTTACAACCCCTAATTTTCTCCACCCTCCAACAATAAATGGCCCATTGCTTCATCCTGTTTACATGAAGGAACGGACATATTACAAATAACATATTTATAACTCATGTATTATCCTCTGTGTCTCTATCTGTATGTTAAATCATGTAATATTCAGCACAGATAAGAAGTCACGGTCACCAAGTGACATATTTGTGTAAAACATCAGTACTCTTACAGTTCTTGATTTGTAATGTTAAAAAAACATCTCCGCAAGCTAAAAAGTAAAACAGTCAGTTTTCGGCCAACAAATACTTGTACAATTTTTGGAGGGAGACATTCTTCTTTCATGTCAGTGGCCAAAAGTATACTAACCATGGTCAGGTTTTAAGTTTTTTTTGCTAAATATAGATAAAATGTTGTCATGAACAGTCTACTGATGCAGCCAATGCCGAAGACTATTTCTTTCACAGTTACATTAATCCCAACCAGAGACATAAACAGAACACAGCTTCCAGATGACAGATGTGAAGCAGTTATATACACAAAGCCTGGAGACCATATGATTTACACAATGGTATGTACAGTCCTGCCCCGAGACTGTGCTTCAAACAGTGCTATATATACACTTGTTCACCTGCCAGTTTGTCCATGAATGGTTTGACAAGTGCCCGGGTGGCAAAGTTGAACACAAGTCCAAATGTGATGGAGATCGGCAGAGCAGGAAGAGCCTTGCGGAAGATGGCCAACAGCAAGAGCGTGAAACACAAGCCCTAGGAAGGAACAAACAGTAGTTATTAGCTTGGTATCATACTTGCATGTTTATATGTATTCTGAAACAAATAAGCCTCATTAATATTTTGGGGGATATTTTTATGAAATTGTGTGTTCTCAGTCTTCACTACAAAACAATATCCCCCCAAATGATCCCTTCTTTTGGTCAGCATATACATAGTATTCAATGTTTGATAGAAATATTCAATCCACAGATTATTCCATGATACATGAGTCTCATTCCACAAAGCGATTGTAGTGTAATGACTTTGTAAATCTATGTTAAATTATGGAAGATACGATCATCTTAGCATGATGTTCATGTTACTGTCCCGCTAAGGTTTCACTTTGTCAGTAATATAATCAAAGGTAGTATGTTATGTTTGTTTGTTTGTTCTTATATATTTTAGCTGCAGAACAGTGACCTGTAATTAATTGAAACTGGACCACACAAACCAGTGATTGTTTGTTTAGGAGCAACGATTCACGTCTTTGAGGTGCGGTAACACACAATAAGCCAAGTTACTGAGTCTGACCACCCGAACATGTCACCCATGCTATAAGAATACATTGCTGCGGACCTGTTCTAACCCTGAATCCCAATGACAATCACAAGAATTCCACACTGAGCTTACAACACACTCTGAGATGTTGGACATATGTATTATGTTTTCTAAATTTGAAACTATATTCTCTAATGTGTAACTTACAATGAGTATTGCGACAAAACAGGCAAGTGTTGTGTTCCAGTCTCCATAGGATGAAGCCTTCCCAACCAGAACACCGTAGAAGATGAAGTCGCCCAGTCCCAGCTTAACGCCTCCTGCACACAGAAGAGGAGGCACCATTATACACAACTCACCCACACCTTACCGTGAACACTGACACAGGACGCTGACACAGTACTACAAGCACTCATTATTCATAAAACGATAAACCATGAACAATGATGATGATGATGATGATGATGAAAGTGATGATGATTTAGAACTGTAACCATGGCAACAGGGCTGATGCAGTGGATGGGGGTCTATTATTTCCATTGTGACCACCCAATTGACACTTTCAATTAATCAACAGTTAATCAACAGTACCAACATAAGACAAGTCGCATTACTTCATTTACAGCAGCAACCATCCTCAGCTGCATTCTGACCACAGATTCACACTTTCATCACACATCAACTTACTTTCTTCATCTTCCTGAGCTGCCTGTTGCGGCTGTTGCCGTGCGTTCCCAGTCATTGCTCGGTCATCAACAGGGCCATTGCGACCTTCAGATCGGACCTCACCAAAGGTTGCTACAGCTGAACGAGCACGGTCAGTCTCTCCGCTACTGGACAGCTGTCCTCGAGGCGTGTATATATGGTCCCGGAATCCACCTTCTTCATTATCTGACGGCATGTCATTTGTAGCACCAGTGTCTGTAGAAACTGTGGTTCTTTCTGTAAGGAAGCAAATCAATAGTGTTGATCATGTTCACAGAGGTTTTTGATGCACAAATGTACTGAAAATAATTACCCTAACCTATTACATGTCAAATGCCTATGAATGGTTCCCTCTGACCCATCCCAGCCTATAAATGACTGGTCCCCTCTGACCCATCCCAGCCTATAAATGACTAGTCCCCTCTGACCCATCCCAGCCTATAAATGACTTGTCCCCTCTGACCCATTCCAGCCTGTAAATGACTGGTCCCCTTTGGCCTATCCCAGCCCATAAATGACTGGTCCCCTCTGATCCTATAAATAACTGGTCCCCTCTGACACATCTCAGCCCATAAATGACTTATCTCCTCTGACCCATCCAAGCCTATAAATGACAGGTACCCTCTGACCCATTCCACCCTATAAATGACTAGTTCCCTCCGACCCACCCCACCCTATTAATGACTAGTCCCCTCTGACCCATTCCACCCTATAAATGACTAGTTCCCTCTGACCCACCCCACCCTATTAATGACTAGTCCCCTCTGACCCATTCCAGCCAATAAATGACCGGTCCCCTCTGACACATCCCAGCTTATAAATGACTTATCCCCTCCGATCCATCCCAGCCCATAAATGACTGGTCCCCTCTGACCCATCCCAGCCTATAAATGACTTATCCCCTCCGATCCATCCCAGCCCATAAATGACTGGTCCCCTCTGACCCATCCAAGCCTATAAATGACAGGTACCCTCTGACCCATTCCACCCTATAAATGACTAGTCCCCTCTGACCCACCCCACCCTATTAATGACTAGTCCCCTCTGACCCATTCCAGCCTATATATAATTAGTCCCCTCTGACCCATCCAAGCCTATAAATGACAGGTCCCCTCTGACCCATCCCACCCTATAAATGACTGGTTCCCTCTGACCCATCCCACCCTATGAATGACTGGTTCCCACTGACCCCTCTCAGGTTATAAATGACTAGTCCCCTCTGACCAATCCCAGCCCATAAATGACTGGTCCCTTCTCACCCCTCTGACCCATGACTGGTCCCTGATCCATGAAAATTTTTCAAATTGATGTCAGAGACCAGAAACATAATATTATCGATGAAAAGAACTCACATGTATGTGCGGTCTTCAAAAGGTTGCAGGGTGGGTGGGGTTTGGGCGGGGTTTCTGTGGGTGGGGTTTTTGTGGGTGGGGTTTCTGTGGGTGGGGTTTGGGTGGGTGAAGGTTTGCTGCTGACACCTCCTCTGGATCTGCCATTAACTTACCCCCCAAAGCAGCATGAGGTACAGATAACCTATTGGGTTCCACATATTTCGAGCACTGACATGGAAATATAAAAAAAGTTGAACTATCGTTCAGATTGTGCACGACAATAACATCTTCAAGTCAGTAATACAAGGTCACTCTGAAACAAGATTACTACACAATCACCAGGTGACAGGAACAAAATGTTATGACCATGATTTATTCCCCATTTGTGCAGGTCACATGACTAACAGGGCATCTGGGGCTGTCAGTATTGTTTATGGTTCTCGTAATAGATGTATTGTCTGTCAAGAGCTCTGTAAGCGTCTGTTTTATAGCAGCACTCCTCACCTGTGTCATCTGAGCTCGGGCTGCCTCGTTTCCTCTTCTTCTTCTTCTGCTGTTTATCCCCATCTTCTCCATCAGCCGCCGTCACCACCTGCCACATCATTGTTGCTGAGATAGGAGGGAAGAAAGAACAAGCTTTATAGCTCTGTTTCAACTGAGAAGGTTAAACACTGATATGTTCTAAAGTACAGGAAAGACCTGCACAATTATCAAATATAATTTTTTCATTTTCCCATCGATAACCATGGTTACAGAAGGCCAAATTCACCTCCTCGGTGAGACATTTTCATTAAGATTGTTGGGCATTTCATTGGTACTTACTAAAAAAGTAAAATCTGTACTTCATACAGTTATTGAAACTGAACAGATCAGAGTTGAGTCTTATCAAACACGATCACAATTACATGGGCATGTTGATATACATGTATGTTCAGTTGTTATTCAATATGGTAGCTCCATGTGGCGAGCTGTTAGTGTGAATAACTCACAGGAATAGATGAGGGCAGGGAATATAGGTTCGTTCCTCTCCTGGGCAGTCTCCACCAAGACACGCAGTGGGCCATTGGGACACAACACAGCCACCAGATCTGAGCAAAACACAGAAATTAGCATATTTTTTTTTTTTTCACATCATGAAATCAAATCAATTTCATCTTTAAACAAAAGTACACAAATAATAATAATAATAAATGTACATTTCTAATATCCAAATTCATGCACTGGTACATGCTCATCGCATTACGTAAGACGAAAACATTACAAAAATAGAAACTGAAACTTAGGCATAGTAGTTTCGATCAAAGAAAACTCAAGGTCGCTGGCTGATTTGGAGTCAATGGATATCGAGTTTAACAAATCGGGCAGAAAGTAGGAGACAGATCTGTTTCTATTAGGCGCGAGCTTGTAGCAAGGGACTGTCAAGAGATTTTGGTTTGGGGAACCAAGTTTATGTACAGGCGTGAGTGAGTGAGTGAGATTTTACGCCCTTTTAGCAATATTCCAGCAATATCATGGCGAGGGACACTACAAATGGGCTTCACACACACATTTTACCCATGTCGGAAATCGAACCCGGGTCTTCGGCATGACAAGCTAATGTTTTAACCACTAGGCTACCTGACCACCCCTTTTATATACAGGAATAAAAGAAGCTAAAGATCCGAGATATAGGCACAACTGGTACCGTGATGGCTGACCCCCCCACCACACTCTTACAACAAGTAGGGTATTTGCAACCTATTCTGCCCCGGAATCCCTACAGCAACATGCGAGGGGACTGATGTGATGACTGACTGACCCCACACTCTTACAACAAGTAGGGTATGTGTGACCTATTCTGCCCCGGAATCCCTACAGCAACATGCGAGAGGACTGATGTGATGACTGACTGACCCCAGACTCTTACAACAAGTAGGGTATGTGTGACCTATTCTGCCCCGGAATCCCTACAGCAACATGCGAGAGGACTGATGTGATGACTGACTGACCCCAGACTCTTACAACAAGTAGGGTATGTGTGACCTATTCTGCCCCGGAATCCCTACAGCAACATGCGAGAGGACTGATGTGATGACTGACTGACCCCAGACTCTTACAACAAGTAGGGTATGTGTGACCTATTCTGCCCCGGAATCCCTACAGCAACATGTGAGAGGACTGATGTGATGACTGACTGACCCCACACTCTTGCAACAAGTAGGGTATTTGCAACCTATTCTGCCCCGGAATCCCTACAGCAACATGCGAGGGGACTGATGTGATGACTGACTGACCCCAGACTCTTACAACAAGTAGGGTATGTGTGACCTATTCTGCCCCGGAATCCCTACAGCAACATGTGAGAGGACTGATGTGATGACTGACTGACCCCAGACAACCATGACTCCGAGTACAACCCAGGTGGTCCAGTCTGGGAGATACTTGATGAAGATGAGTGCCATGAGGGCGCTGATGACGATGAGGTAGGCCTGTTGCAGCAGCAGTGGACCCTTCCAGTGAATACTGATCATCCCCACTACTCCGAAGTTCCACATCAACACAATCACCGTCACATAATCGAACGGGACATTGTAGGCTCGCAGCACCTCACTGAAATAATGATAAAGAGGTGAAAGTTACAGGCTGTGAACTAAACTCAAGAGCTTTACTAGCCCAGGAAAAGATAGAATACCATTGTAATATAGTAATGGGGAAATTTGGAAATTTCTACTAGCCCACATGAATTTCTACTAGCTGCGGGCTAGAGGGCTACCCTAAGTTCTAACCCTGAAGTTACATGCACAATTTTATGTAACTCTAAATATTTTTGAAATTTGTGTTCTTATCATGCATAATCCTCCTTAATGCATTTACTGCTTACCTTACAGCAATAAAGGATACTGCCTAGCCGGGGTCTTGGGTGATCAGAAAAGTTGTTTCGGTTTTCAAATCCCAATTTTTACATGGACCATCACCACTGTCATGTGATCTTGATGGAATAAAACCTATCACATTACTGCTTGTCGTGTAACAGCTAGAATGTGTCTCAGCCGGGCTCATCAACTTTGGGATTTTTTTAGGCAGTTAGCTTCGGGCTACCACACTAAATTATATCTGCGATGGGTGATGTATTACTTTCACATTACTCTCACTTTTTTTTGGTATTAATACATGGGTGATTTTCATGTAAAAAGATTTTGTCTTTTTCGCGCCATGTGGCTCATTATTTTCGCCATTTTGAATTTGTGTTACATTTGTTTACCTTTCAAGGTGGTCAAATTATCTGCAATTCGTAGCTAGGTATTTTTAACATGCTTATGTTTATTTGGCGTTACAAAGAGTTGTTTGTGTATCTATTCATTGTATACACTTTCAAATGCCTAAAGAATTTGCCAATAGACAGGTGCTGTCCTTTATTGTCGTAAGGTAAGCAGTAAATGCATCCGGAGTCATGCAGGATAAGTAAAAATTTAAATCACTACATATGAACTGACTACACAATACGGACATGTAACTTAGACATACACATCATTTAGATACATGTACAGACATCACTTAATCTGACGGTACAGACATCCAGTCAAACTGGGTTATCTAAACACTGAATTATTACAAATGTACGGATTCAGACCCTTTTCATTGGTCTTTGCTACCAATGGCTAGCTTAGTGACTGAGTGAGTATGGCACTCCGCTTTTGCAATATTCCAGCAATATCACGGGGGAAGACCAGAAATGGGCTTAACACATTGTACCCATGTGAGAAATCAAACCTGACGAGCAAGTGCTTTAACCACTGGGCTACCCAAAATCCACTTAGCATGCTAAAGTCTGTTTCTCTCAAATTTGAGATGAAAATATTTACCATTACCTCTTACCTCCAAACAATGAGTTTACACTTTCATCTCAAAGCTGGGTATAGTCATCAGAAACTTGTTTCAAGTACAAAAGATTACAAACATGTCATGCTACTGATTTGGAAATTTTGGAAACTTCATATTAGCAACGTTACTGGTACTTTTACCTTGAGTTGGATCAATTGCTTGCTAGTTTTCAATTCCCAACTTGTGGACGATTTCCTTAACACATCTGTCAACTGGTCTTTGTTGGAAACGGGTTGTGGAGCTTTACCTCCATTTCAAGTTATCCCAAAGTGATTGGTTCAAAGACGAGGTTGGAGATGAAGAGGTTTGTGACCATGGTAACTGCATATTATTTCAAATTAACTAGAAATGGACTGATCATTACAAAGACTGACCAGAATATCCAATTAGTTCTTCATAACCATTCGTTAAAGACTTTCATCATTACAGTGAAGTATCAGGTTTGACTTCAAACACAGCTTGTGAAGCCTGTTATTGGCATTAACACTCAACAGTACTGCTATAAAGTCAGTGTCTTTCACTCACCCCAGGTATATGTATGAGAAGAGGAACAGGAGCATGAGTGAGGACACAATCAGCCAGCCGTGGATCACCTGGACACAAAAGTTTGACATATAAGGACATACACACAACAAAGTCTGTTATATAAGGATAAACCTACAACAGACAAGTCTGCTATATAAGGGTATACACCCAACAGGAAAGTCAGCCATATAAGAACATACACCCAAAAAGTCTGTTATATAAGGATATACCTACAACAGACAAGTCTGCTATATAAGGGTATACACCCAACAAAGTCTGTTATATAAGGGTATACACCCAACAAAGTCTGTTATATAAGGGTATATACCCAACAAAGTCTGCCATATAAGGGTATACACCCAACAAAGTCTGTTATATAAGGATATACCTACAACAGACAAGTCTGCTATATAAGGGTATACACCCAACAAAGTCTGTTATATAAGGGTATACACCCAACAAAGTCTGTTATATAAGGGTATACACCCAACAAAGTCTGTTATATAAGGGTATATACCCAACAAAGTCTGCTATATAAGGGTATACACCCAACAAAGTCTGTTATATAAGGATATACCTACAACAGACAAGTCTGTTATATAAGGGTATACACCAAAACAGGAAAGTCAGCCATATAAGAACATACACCCAACAAAGTCTGTTATATAAGGATATACCTACAACAGACAAGTCTGCTATATAAGGGTATACACCCAGTAGAACAGTCTGCTATATAAGGGTATACACCCAACAATGTCTGTTTTATATAAGGGTATACACCCAACAAAGTCTGTTATATAAGGGTATACACCCAACAGGAAAGTCAGCCATATAAGAACATACACCCAACAAAGTCTGTTATATAAGGATATACCTACAACAGACAAGTCTGTTATATAAGGGTATACACCCAACAGAACAGTTTGCTATATAAGGGTATACACCCAACAGAACAGTTTGCTATATAAGGGTATACACCCAACAATGTCTGTTTTATATAAGGGTATACACCAAACAAAGTCTGTTATATAAGGGTATACACCCAACAGAACAGTCTGCTATATAAGGGTATACACCCAACAGGAACGTAAGCCATATAAAGACATACACCCAACAAAGTCTCTGCTATATAATGGCATACACACACCAAAGTCTGCTATATAAGGACACACACGCAACAGACAAGTCTACTATATAAGGATATACCTGCAACAAACAAGTCTGCTATATAAGAACATACACGCAACAAGGTCTGTTATATAAGGACATACCTACAACAGACAAGTCTGCAATATACAGACTTACATGCAACAGGGAAGTCTGCTATATAAGGGTATACACCCAACCATGCAAACAGAATAGTCTGCTGTATAAGGACATACACACAACAGAAAAGTCTGCTATATAAGGACATACAACAGAAACGTGTGCTATTATATGTCAATACACACAACCAAGTCTGCTATATAAGGGCATACACCCAACCAAGTCTGCTGTATAAGGGCATACACACACCATAAATGCACGGAAATATACATCGAATCAAGCACCAATACCCAACACTGATATCTCAGTCAGTGTTTGAAGTCTATGGAAATAGCCACCTGTCCATTTTCTAGACACATTTCAGTGGTGACTTGTCATTCAAAACCCAAATACTTCCTGTCCAGAGACATACTTTTAACTAATTTCAAATAATTAGTGATTAAATCTCAGTTCTCCTTCCTTGTTTTTATTTCAATATCCCAGTTGACATTGGTAGCATGAAGCTTGTCTTACGTTAGTCCATCTTCGCAGGACTGTAGTTTTGATGGCGTATTAGCAATCTTATCCTTACCAGTGAAGTACCCTACACTGCATCCCAGATGCATAGCTCACCTTATAACATCTGTACTTGTACAAGAGCAGCAGCACAACAGTGAGAGCTACAATCACACCCAACAAGATGAAGGCATTGGCAAAAGACTGCCACAGTTTAGTTCCTGTGTCATCAGTCTTGTCATGGAAAGGGGTGTAGATTCTGGAGAAAGAATGGTTGATATCCATGTAAGATTTGTCTAAATACACCATTCTATGTGACAAACAAATGCATGGCTTGAACGCTGAAAATACCTGAACTGTTCCCTGAGCATACTGAGGGATGTACACACAAAAAATAATCACCATGCTGCAATTGACTTTCACTTTGAGTGAGTTCAACCTTCATGGTTAGGAGGCCCAACATTGTTTGAACATTGTCGCAAGCTCTGACGTTCGTACAGTTTGGCCTTCACTCTGTCAGGGTTCATACTCCAGTGATCTCACACAAAGCGAAAGTCAAATTCTTAAATGTTCCCCCGTGTTTCCTCCGAAAATCATTATCACACTCTATTCGACAGTGTTCAGCTGAAAAGATACTGTAATTCTTGATTCTCAGTCCCTAGAACAGCTGTAAAGCACCTCTTCATAGCAGGAATTTATTTAATAATACAGTTAACTACGTTTATAATGAACACGCTTATAACAGACTGACAAATATAACAAACTTATTTTTTAGTTCCGGTCATTTGTTGTATATATGCTGAGATATGGTTATATAACGAACTACGGTTATTACGAACTAAATTTAGTGGTCCCCTTGAGTTTCACTATAACTGTAGTTTACTGTAATTATAGCAAAATAAACAAAAAAACCTCATAATTGTTATAATATTTGGACATCCAATCAGCACACTTTCTTCTTTATGTCCATGCCAAACACATGATACACAATAATGCCACATATTTCAAGTATAAGGCACCAACACAAATTTAACACATCTTTTGTCTTAGAACAAATTATATTTCAGTCTAAAAGGAACATATTTTTTTCAAAATTAAGCTCAATAAAAGTAAAAAATACATTTATACTTAAAACTCACAAGTAGGTTGTTTGTTCTGTGTAAAATGTGACAGAACTAATGGTTGCTACGACAACAGCCATACAGAGTGTGACGGGCACAAACAGCATGATGACATGCTTGGCTCCGTACAGTAGTGTTTCGTCTTCCTCATCAGATCCTGCACTTCCCTGGTTGCTGCCATTCTGGCGCGACTGCACTGATGGATTAGTGCTATTATCTTGATCACGTCTTGTTTCTCTGCTGCGAGCACTCTGAAATTTTACAATAAGCATCATAAAAAATAATTTTCTATTTTCTTCATAGACATGTAAGCATTGATCAAGTAAGGGTTGAATTTGTTCAAATTTGCCATGCTCCCATTCCTTAAAAAAGAAAAGTGAAACAAAAATATCTGAAAATTTATTTCACCAATGCATACATACATGTAATTTGTGAAATTTGGTTGCCATATACAAATTATTAAATACTCTGTCATTCAATGTCTGATCCATGGAGCTATTATCACATCATTCCTTACGGCTTGGGATATAAAAGAACAAAATAATCGTCCCTTTCCGTATCACTCCGGACAGAATTTTATTAGCATTAACCTTTGGTATAGTGGCTAAAGTCACAGATCATGTCCAAATACACACAATGTACTTAACAACTTGGCAACAAAAATGAATTATCATTAATTATTGTAAAATTTTATGATTCAGGATATATTTTGGTCAAGTTTTGTATGATTCATAAATAATCACGAACAAAGACCTAGAAATACTAAACATTAAAACATAAATCCCTATTTGAACTATTGATTTTCACAGTATTCGGTCCTTGGTTTAAAAATTGATTTGGCTCTTGATTTGTATAACCTCATTAACCTGTACATAAAAATCACCACACTTACACTGAAACCTCTCTCGTCCGTTTGGGTCGTGTCTGTGTCAAGTACGGCAGGGGAATCTCTCTGATACGACGGAGTTGAGTTGCTGAAGCTGACGTTTTCCATGTTTCTGCTGTTACGGCCGCCGGACATAAGACCAGTCCGTTCAGTTGGCTCTCCGTCGCTTGGAGGGGTTGACTGTACTGCGCTCATACAGACTGTGTCATCGTATCACGCCGAACAGTTCGATAAATGCTCCCCTTTTATTTGTCAACCCCGATCTGTTTTCTTGCTCAGTGAGTCACAAGACACAGAATAACTGCCAAATCACATACAATATCTAAGCCGCGTAGACTGAATAAAAATGATTTTACAAGACAGAAATTATAAATAAAATGTGCGAAAACTAAGAAAGGTACTTGAAACAACGTAAAGATATTGACTTTTTGTTTTACTTTAGGGTAGTGGTTCCCGGAAGTAAACTCCGAAGGAAATGACATCAACTCACGTGACATGAAACGCTGCCAAGTCTTATGACCTGACCTACCTTCTCTGTTGCGCGTACGCCTATAGCTGAAAATATCCACAACGCACACGGTGATCATTCGTCAAGACTCGCATCTCTCCGTAAGCTTACATGCTTGTCCCGGAATGGGTCGAGTTGGTCACAAATGGCAGGGGGATATGACTTATCAGTATATATGCCCACCGATGGGAAAGGAATTCAAGATAAGTTCACGTTTTTGTAAGTTAACAACAATAATAATCTGAAGAGGGAGGATCAGTCAGTTTACTTGGGGAGGAGTTATTGACCATCTCGTGGAAGGTCAGGCATATATGTTCATAGGGATGCAGGTTAGGGACAAACTCCAGAATGCCCATATCAAGGAAAATCTTCGGGCAGAGTACAAATGTAGACTTAAGAAAATCTAGAGCTCAGAGCTGAACGCTCGCAGTGAAGTTAAGGTACCGACGTTTACAACAATATCTGAAAAACTATTGGACCACTCGAGTCAAATTTGGTTTGAGATTATTAAATAGTCATACATAACTGGATATTGCATTTAAAGACAATCGGTGCATGAATAGAAAATCTGTCTATTTAGCTATCACTATATTTCATCAACAACCAGACCTGTTCGTCACGGGTGGAACGAGCATTCATTGTAACAGCCATCGGCATAATGCTTATGCCACAAATACTTATGCTGTGCCCGTCCTTTCATATTCTTTTGGTGTTGTTGATTGGACAAAACAAGTAATTCAGGGTATTGACACCCTCGCACGAAGAATCATGTCAGACAATAGATTCCACCACCCTCGCTCTTCCCTCAATCGCTTATATTTACCAATCATAATGGGAGGGCGTGGTTTGATTAACGTGGAGGCTCTTCATGAATTGTATTGTGCACCTTTGAACACATTTATTTGTCTGTTGATCCTCTTGTGAAGCATGTCAAGACTCATGATGAAAAGAAGGCATTCCACAGTTTACTTAACGAGCCAAGTATGTGGGACATAATCTCAATGTCAGTGTTGATTTTGTTGATGGTTCTCTAATGCTGGACGATACAGAAATGAGTGTCAACCAAGCGAAGTGCCGTATGAAATCGTCCCAGGCTAACTTTTTCAAAAGGGGCTATCCGAACGACCAGTGCATCGAGTTTATGTACAGTTTGTTGAGATGATCAGCAACCCTGCAGACGCCTTTATATGGATGGCCTGAGAAAAAGTGAAACAGAAGGCACTTCCCACTCGAAACCATCAATTGTGTGATTTTGCATCAAAATGTGAATATGAAATGTAGATTATGTAATGAATTTACTGAGACTGTCGAACACATTGTCAGTGGATGCCCAGCTTTGGCACAAACACATTATCTTAAGCGACATGATGGAATGGCGCGATCATTTTATTAATTACCGTCTTCGCCAGCTCTGGAACATATACGGTCTATTTGCTGAACGCATGCGTTCTCTCCTAGAACGCATGTATTCTGCTGGGTTCTGTAATGATAAGCAGCACACTAATGTTATAGGCGAGAACGCGTGTTCCATTAATATAACATCGGGGTTCTGTTTTACTAACTAGCATTCAAAGCTGCCCATGCCCTGTGAATCACATCCGTTACGTGGGAAAACTGACGTGACGTCGCATTTATTTGGCGCTACAATTTCCTATGATCTGAGGGGTATCTGTGGTAAGTATCCATCTTGGAATACTTTTGTTTCACATTTAATACTAACCTAAAAGGGGGCACGGGTGGCCCAGTCGTCTAAGGCGCCGCGATTCGCTGTGCAGAGTTGCGTCCCTTGGGTACGCCAGAAATCTATGATTGTGGGTTCGAATCCCGGTTCGCCCCGATTATGTTTCTAGGTTTGTCAGCACCATACCCGTGCTCGTGGGTTTCACCGAAGTGGTAAACGTCTGAGACCTGCATCACTTCGGGCTTTCCTCCCACATTAAGCTGACACGCCGCGATATAACTGGAATATTGTTAAAAGCGGCGTTAAACCCAACTCACTCACTCACTCTCACTAACCTAAAATTGTGTAATATTTCGGCGATATAATCATATGCTGATCGCATGCGAAGTAAAACTGGACCCTTTCGGAACGCATAGCAGACGACATATTCCTCGCCATTTTGATCGTCATTTCTGCCATTGCTCCACACGCATTATTCGCAAATTGTGAGATGAAATCCCTATCCAAATTGCATTTGTGACTATTTGAAAGTTTCCGTTTATTTGAATGATGTTAAAATAAAATGAATATATATTTCAGGTTCTATATGAATTGTCTGAAAGTGCGGGCTGCATGCAACAAATCTCTGAACATCTAAATTTGGGATCCGAGGGCATGATCAACATGCATCGACAATGCATCGAAATCAGCAGAGAGTAGTGTAAGTATGTAATGAACAAACAGAACTAAACCTTCACAGGACATGTTTTTGGCTATTTTATATGAAATATTTTAGAGAAACAGTCTTGTTGTTTCTATTTCAGGGTGCATTGCAGATAATCAGTACCATCCATGGAAATTATTGCACACAGCACACGTCTACGCAAAGGAGGAAAAGAAACAAGGTTTTGCAGATCAAATAAGAACTAAGAAATAAGAAATATTTTGCTCTAATCTTTATCCAAGTAAGATATAACTTTGTTAGTCAAATGACATTTTTGGCACAACATTTTGCAACCTACAAATAATGAAACAAATGTCACGGTAATCTTGCGTTTACTACTGAGCATTTGTTAGAATAATGTCTAATTTAATATGTACGAGTTTGATAAATATATGACTATGACCAAATATTTCGTATTTGACATGAAGTTTCCTGAAGCATGCGATGATCATGTATCTGTTACGAACATCGTCCTTGGGGATATTTACCCACAAGAAACATCTGCGAATACATGCGTTTCATGAAAGTCTTGAAACTTAAGTTATCTTAAGTATGGAAGTATGCTTCAGTTTGCTACACGACAGTTTGTAATGTTTCATGAAGAACTCTGACTCACATATTTAAGTGACTTGAATATCCATGATCATGACAAATAAATGTAATAAAGAATTCATGGTTGCAGTTCAGAATTTCGTCCGCGTGATTTTATGCCAGAGAATATGCATGGGTGTATGGTTCAAATTCTTACGCCTTGAAAAAAACATCGAGTAAATTGTATTCGACACACACGATGAGTTGTTGTTTCAGTACTATGGAAGTAGGTGTCCGAGAAGAAGTGTAGTGTTCTGAATCTCGGTCCAGAACACTTTACAGGCGTTCTAAAAGTGTTACATCGTCAGAACACGTTGAAGCGTTCTAAATAAGTTTGTAGAACTGCCCTGTTCTGGGTCGAGAACATCCACGTTCAGAATATTTTCAGAACACATGGATGCGTTCAAAACGTGTGCTCTGTCTAGTGTTCAGAAGGAGAACACTTGGGTTTAGAGTGCATGGTTGTGTGGTTGACACAGAGGTCTATCCATGGTATGTACGGATGACGTCATGGAAAATGATAAATACAAAATTCTTTGGAATAGGTCCGTATACAGCCTCAGATCTATCCAGGGGAACAAACCTGATCTTGTCCTTTTGGATAAATCCAATGAAATCATTCATTGAATTTTCTGTCCCTTTTGACACTAATGCATGTGATTGACACGATTGAGGCAAAACATGACAAATATGCGGACCTCGCTTTCGAAATGTCACGCTTGCATCCCAAGTACCAAGTTGTCCGACTCCCCATTGTTCTCGGTGCCTTAGGTTTGTTACCTCCCAATCTGTTGACTGGCAGTCTTCACATTCTCCGAAAAGTTCTCGGTGGATTGACAAGGAAGAGCTTCCTGGGAGAAATCCCATTCGCTGTTTGGGCTGCGTGTAGAGGGGACAAGGGCCCTGAGCTGATGATGAGCCTAATCAACATGACTGTGCCAGGATCACCCAAACCCTCTTTGCTGCATTTTTTTTATTTTAACCGGTTAATAATAATAATTTGCTCCCATAAAGCATTGTGCATTGCATGTGCATAGCCATTGCCATGCTACACGACATGCAGTCTGTAGTAGGAAATACACGTTCCATACATCTGAGAGAGATAGAGGGGAACTAATTAGTTTATATTTGGTGTATTACCGAACTGCCCAAGCTTTGTGGCTTCATAGCAACAAGTCTACGATATGATAAATAAAACAAACACGGTAGGGGTCGTCCCAAAAACAAAACCAGACTGTAAAAGGATATAAGACAGCTTTGATACAGGGGTGACCGCCTCCGTGGTCTAGTGGTAGAGCGTCCGCCCGGAGAGTGGAAGGTCCGGGGTTCGATCCCCGACCGCGTCATACCAAAAGACGTTAAAATATGGTACTTGTTGTTACCCTGTCTGGCGCTCGGCATTAAGGGCAACAACAAGGACTGGTCGGCTCGGAGTATACTGTGTCTGAGTGGGGTATTCATGTTAAACTGCGCCCAGGTATCTCAGTGAGCTAGCACTATAAATCGGCATCAGTCCGGACTAGTACAAACAGACACACAAACACACACACGTACATGCACGTCGCTATATAAGTGCAATAATCTTGGACGCGACGTTAAACCCCATTTCACCTCACCTCACTTGATACAGGGGTCATAAAACGTACAATGTACACGCTTTATGAGCAGAAAGTAGACTTGTAGAATTCGGAAATTAAAGGCACAGTTATTGCTTCCCGGGCCACATTAATTTTAATCATTGCTCGCCATGACAGACTGCACGTGACCATGACCGAGGAGTCTCCAGGGCATAATATTCCCATCCTGACTAAGAGGTCACATTATCCCAGAATCGTGATGTGTTCAAAAACTGGTTGGAACATCAGCTACTGTCCAATCTAAACGTACCCAGTGCCATTGTCATGGATAGCGTCAGTTATTATAACGTCCGGGAACTAGTATGTGTGGCTGCTTGAACTAGTCCGGACTGATGTCGATTTATAGTGCTAGCTCACTGACATACCT